TATAATATATCTAGGTTATGTAATCTCTCCTGGAGCCTGTTATAATATATCTAGGTTATGTAATCTCTCCTGGAGCCTGTTATAATATATCTAGGTTATGTAATCTCTCCTGGACCCTGTTATAATATATCTAGGTTATGTAATCTCTCCTGGAGCCTGTTATAATACATCTAGGTTATGTATTCTCTCCTGGAGCCTGCTATAATATATCTTGGTTAGGTGTTCTCTCCTGGAGCATGCTATAATATATCTAGGTTAGATGTTCTCTCCTGGAGCCTGCTATACTATATCTAGGTTATGTATTCTCTCCTGAAGCATGCTATAATATATCTAGGTTATGTATTCTCTCCTGTAGCCTGCTATAATATATTTAGGTTATGTATTCTCTCCTGGAGCCTGCTATGGAGACTCTGGTGGACCACTCCTAGTCAATCAAACTAATGGATTTGTTCTTACAGGCAGATTTATTAGTTTCCTTTTTTCATTTAATTATAGGATCAAATCAGCCAACCCCCCTCCCCCCACCCACCCCAAAATATAATCTACAGTGGTTGGCGTTTACATCAATACAATGAAGACGACTTTTCTATTGAATTTTTTTACAAGGAAGTGTTAATTTAAAGCTTCTCTTTGTTTCCATGTTTATGTGTATCCATGCTGTTTGAAAGCTTGGTAGAAATCAAAAATTGAAATCGAAAGTTGTCGTTATTTTATTGATATATACGACGACGAATGTATGCATTTGAGTCTTTTCTGAGAAGATTTTGTGTTTTGTCTTCATTTTGTTTCTAATGTAAAGTTTTTTTTATTTTTTATTTTATAAAAATGTCCTCCCATTTTAATTTCTGAAAACAGGTATAGTTAGTGGAGGAAGAGGAGAACTTGGAAACTGTGGAGGAATAAACAACCCTGTTCATATAGTTAGGTACTTTGCTGTACATATAGTTAGGTACTATACTTACATATAAATAGGCAAGGAGAATTGAATTCAATTTTCCTTGAAATTAGGATTAGCGTACATCATCATTCTATACACTATAACCTCGTTGGTATAATGGAAAACACTTCGAAAATGCTCCGACGCAGAATTTCTTCTGGGTTAGGTACTGTACTTTACATATAGTTAGGTAATATACTGTACAGTGTACATATAGTTAGGTACTACACTATACAGTGTTCTTATAGTTAGGTACTATACAGTACAGTGTACAGTGTACATATAGTTAGGTGCTATACTGTACAGTGTACATATAATTAGGCACTATACTGTACAGTGTGCATATAGTTAGGTACTATACTGTACAGTGTACATATAGTTAGGTACTATACTTACAGTGTGCATATAGTTAGGTACTATACTGTAAAGTGTACATATATAGTTAGGTACTATACTGTACAGTGTACATATAGTTAGGTACTATAAATACAGGGTTATCCACAAAGGATGAGACTTTACGGAATTCATTAAGTCTTTTTACTTTCCCTTCCAAATCACTAAGTATTCCCTTTAAAGAATATATTGAAGGCAGAACAGTAAAGTTAGAAACTATATTGTACATATAAATTGGTACTTACGTTGTGTACTTATAAATAGTTAGATATTGCACTGTACAGCAGTAAGGTACAGTACTAGCTGCCATTTTACTTTAAAAACTCAATTTATTTCAGATTTTGTTTTGTACATTAAAAAACTTTTATATTTTGGTTACTAAAATCTTTCAACAGATTGAGAAAAAAACTATCTGATAAAACAAATTCAAAATGGCTTACTGGACTAAAGTTACAACCTTTACTGGAATGTACTGTATATTACAGTTTAACCCAGAACTTCTGGGTCATCGAAAGAATTTATAAAATGTCGTCTTGACAATTTTATAATGGGTGTTATACTACTAACCTGAATTTCAGTAATTGGAAAATAAAAAGATAGCCGAGAATATGCGGGAACAGTTTTAAAGAGCTCCATATAATTTTTCAATCAAAAAAACTAAATATCTGGAGCATTCCATTATTCTTTATTTCTGGACTAAACTGTACAGTATATCCCATATTAGAAAAAGGCCAAGAAAGGAATATTGAATATTATTAGCAAAGAGAATAGAGGGGAATTTAGAGAATCTCTCGGTTTTTCAGTCCCTTTCAGACTGAAAGGGAGTTCAAAGTGTACAAATCAATGTAAATGTTCACAAATTATATGTAGTAGAGTACATTAATACAGTATGTTCCCTAGACTATCTATTTCAATTTCGAATCTTGTAAAGCTGTTAAATAAACTTTATAAAATGAATTAGGTGAATAAAAAAAATCATTTAATTTAAAGTTATAACGGAAAATAATCGTTTGTAAAGTGAAAGGCATAGAGTCTATGTGAAATGATCATTGGTCAATTATGAAACCAGCTTATTTCATAATTTTGTTTTCTTTTAATATTAATTTTAGATTTTTTATAAAATGATGTTCCAGGGCCCAAGAGGTTATGTATCATAAATATGTGAAGTACACCTGCAGTATGGAAACAGTACAACAAAATGGCCGTTTTACACTTTTTTCTAGTAAATTCCACTCTAATATATTTTCTATTCTCTTTGGTTATTAGATAAACTAAAGGATATATTTAGCTTGTAAAGGTTTCTACTGTCAGCTATAAAAAGAATTGCATAATCTACTAAAAATCTAAATTTCTGTGTCAAAAGCAAAAGTTTGTTTTCAAGCCCAGAAATTATACGCAATCGATTAGGAAAAAGCTTCATACAATTGGGCTCTGAATTGTTTATAAATAGCGTCATTGGTTCATGAAAACTAATAATATCTGCGCAGATATTGATCATTTTATGCTAGGAAAACTGTATATTAATTACAGTGGTAGGCGATTATATCAATACAATGAAGACGACTTTCAATTTTGATTTATATCAAGCTGTTAAAAAGCAAGGATACATATAAACAAAGAAGTCAAGAGAATCTGTCAATCAAAAAGCTTCTGTTCGATTACTTGTAAACTTTTAATTCAAAAAAAGCTTAATAACAATCAAAACTTAAATGTAAAAGTTGTGTTCATTATGTTGAAATAATCGCCTACCACTATAGGTAATAATATCATAAATTACTGCAACTGTATTTCCTGAGAAATTTATGGAACTGAATTATCTTCGATATCAAGTGGATTTAACGATTTTGTGACCTGCCAATATTCCAGAAAGCTGTGACAAATTGACCTATTAAACATATTTGTTCAGCCTTTTTTCTTCTATACTTTTGCCGGCATATACATTTTGAATGAAATGCATAAAACAAAAAAATCCATAAGTTTAAAGATTGTATACTTGCTTTATTTTAGGTTAAAAATGTTTACTAACTGGATACTGGGGATAACTGGTTACAAGGTGATTGTCTTAACCCTATAAAGGCTAGGGAGTCTGAATCTACAGGGTGTCCCAAAAAACATGGGAATTCAGTGACGAATTCGATATCGTCTTTATGAATAATTCTTTGATTTAGTATAGTGATACCTACTGAGAAAGCTGTAATCTGTAAGAGTTTCGTCTGCTATGTTTACATTTTGTTTGTTTATGTTTTGACTGCAACCGGTTGTACTTAGTAAAACAAGAAAATTACAGTATACAAACAGAGTAAACTTGTCCATATTCACTGTTCATCTTGCGGAGACATTATAGACACATCTTTTCAGTCTTTTACCTTTTTCATTAAATAAACTCTAGCAGACATAATAATATTATGGCTTTTGAAATCAGGTATTACAATGCTAATTCATAACAAAGACGATATCGAATTCGTCACTGAATTCCCATGTTTTTTGGGACACCCTGTATGTATAGCCTGGGGCGCCCCCCTAGAAATAGGTATAGGGTTGAAATTCATGTTCATAGCCCAATTTTTTAAGGCCAGCTCATAGAAAAAAAATTAGACCGATAACTTTGATAGTTTGGGTGCTATTAGAGGTGTTGAAAAAGTGCCTAACATATTAAAGTGTGACACATGTTTCAACATTCATTTTTCAAGGGCTTTTTAAAAATATAGTTTTTAGATCTGTAGTATTAGTCACACAAAAATTATGAAATATTTTAGATTTTTTTCACAGACCAGACTTTTTTCCGCCTTGTACCCTACCCTATAATTAAAAAAAAAGTTTAACCAAAAATCCTTTAAATTACTATTCATAAAAAGTCAAAAAATTTCACAGTGATAGTGTCGAAAATGAGAGTGCTAGGACAAAAAACTACAGGGGGGGACGCCAAACGCCCTCCTCCCAGCCTGTTTAGGGTTAAAGAGACCGTTAGCTTAATTTGAATTGACCCTCCATGATGGCAATGGCCGACTGACAACGGTAGCCTTGATGGTTAATGATGTGGAAGATATTGTCGTTTTTCAAGGTTTGAAAGTGTTTTTAATTCTGATCATTCTATCTGTTTTCCTGATGGAGAAATGCTGTTGAGAAACTACAAAACAATCAGTTTTTCAAACTATAAACATTTATATGTAATTCATGCGACACTTCAAAGTCGACCCAGTCTTGGCTTTTGATTCAACGTTTCATAATAATCAGGTTCTACATGTTTATAATATAGAGTGCTGTAATTTTAGTTTATCTAGCGGTCTCTGTGAAAACTTAAAGTTATATACAAATTCTTTAAGCAAGGAGCTGATTCATTATAACTAAAATAAATTATTTTAAAGAGAAATCAAAAATAAGTCTGTGTGTTTTAGAATATTTGCTGGGATAAAGAATTCCAGAAGAAAGTTGATAAAATCCTGGCGGAGGAAACAAGCCCTGGCGGAGGAAACTAGCCCTGGCGGAGTAAATTAGTTCTGGTGGCGGAATGTCGCTGTTGGCAGAGTTGAACTATAAAATAGTCACGAAACCTCCAAATTGTTCAAGTTATGCATCATGGATATCATCGATTAGATTTAATAAATAATTATTTTTATAATTTTTTTAAATTGGAATTTTTTATTTCCGTTTTAAAAGTTGCTTAAATACACACTCTCAAACAATGAAAAGGTATGGTCACAATTAAATAATTTCGAAAAAAAACTAAAAAACTTCCTCTCAGATTTAATAAACATTATAAACACATTTTCAACACTTTTCTATAGTTTAATTAAAGTTTTTCCCCCTGAACTGAACTTCTAATTATTTTTCAAATTGTTTACGAGAGTGGTCATATTCCCGTTTTTAAATCAAATGCATGCGCTGTGGCTAGCGTGCGAAGAGTCATATGGTTAACAACCACGGGTGCAGGGTTGCCGTAAAAAAATTAAGGAGCTCTCGATTTTTAGTAATCCTCCTCTTTAAAACTTTTATCTGAGCATCCTCCTCTTTAAACCTTTATCTGATCATCCTCCTCTTTAAACTTTTATCTGATCATCCTCCTCTTTAAACCTTTATCTGATCATCCTCCTCTTTAAACCTTTATCTGAGCATCCTCCTCTTCAAACCTTTATCTGAGCATCCTCCTTTTTAAACCTTTATCTGAGCATGCTCCTCTTTAAACCTTTATCTGAGCATCCTCCTCTTTAAACCTTTATCTGAGCATGCTCCTCTTTAAACCTTTATCTGAGCATCCTCCTCTTTAAACTTTTATCTGAGCATCCTCCTCTTTAAACCTTTCTCTGAGCATGCTCCTCTTTAAATCTTTATCTGAGCATCCTCCTCTTTAAACTTTTATCTGAGCATCCTCCTCTTTAAACCTTTATCTGAGCATCCTCCTCTTTAAATCTTTATCTGAACATCCTCATCTTTAAACCTTATCTGAGCATCCTCCTCTTTAAACTTTTATGTGAGCATTCTCATCTTTAAACCTTTATCTGAGCATCCTCATCTTTAAACCTTTATCTGAGCATCCTCCTCTTTAAACCTTTATCTGAGCATCCTCCTCTTTAAACCTTTATCTGAGCATCCTCCTCTTTAAACCTTTATCTGAGCATCTTCCTCTTTAAACCTTTATCTGAGCATCTTCCTCTTTAAACCTTTATCTGAGCATCCTCCTCTTTAAACCTTTATCTGAGCATCTTCCTCTTTAAACCTTTACCTGAGCATCCTCCTCTTTAAAACTTATCTGAGCATCTTCCTCTTTAAACCTTTATCTGAACATTCAACAAAGAAGAAGAAATCTTCGTTTTCTATCTTGAAAAGTGTTCCGAGCTAAAAACTTCAGATCGTGAGATCCTTAATCCCAATAGGTTAATTAATCTGGAGGAGCGGGGGAAGGCAGGCGGCCATGAGCCACCACGTTTTCCCTTCTTGCCACATATTAGCTTTTTTTCTTCCGGCAGCCATGAGCCACCACTATTTCCCCTTCCGGATCACCACATTTGACTCTTCCGGGCAAAACTACTTTTTAATGGTATATTTAGGGCCTTTAAACTTTAAAGTGTGATTTTCAAAAATCCATCCACGTCACGCTCTCTGGAGATTATTAAAAAGAGGAGAACAAGCATTCTGTAATTTGGAGATTAAGAACAGAGGAGAGCAAAAATTATGTAATATGGAGATTAAGAAAAAGAGGAGTCAAGCATTGATCTCGATATCCAGCATTCTAAAGTTTTCAGCTCAGTTAAGACAGTTTACTTTATTGCTTCTGCGGTATAAATCTAAATAATTTTACACTATGTACTAGTACATAACCAGTGGAGATAATAGTTATCTGGTAACGATGTTAGAGTACAAATATGTTAGAGTACCAATATGTTTAAGTAAAAATATGCTCCAAAATTTTTTTAAACCAATGCAAGGAAGTCAAGGGGAAAAAGTTTCTAAAAAACACCCTGATAACAAAAACATGAGTTAAAAAGCTCTAAATCAAGTTAAAGTATCACTGGCTTCACAGGCCTGGATTTTGGACTCCTGGACCCCTAATATAGTATTGGAAAATACCCATAAAGTCTCATAAAAGATAACAGGTTAAACAAAGTCCTGAAAAAAAATATGTTATAAATATTAGGACTTTTTTCCAAAGACGTTATATTCTGATAACTTCTGAACATTATTTGCACCTTTATATAAACATATAAAGTAACCATAGTTAAATCCTTAAGATTATATATTGTTACCATATAAAGATTGTATTAACTAAATAGAATCTAAAGTATAAAAACTGATGTAAGTAAATCTACAGAGTATAGGAAAAATTGCATTTACAAGCAAAAAATTAACAAATAAAAATGATACTAATGAATCAGGTAAAGCTGAAGCTCTCTGACGGACTCTTCGCCTTTCATTCACCTCATACGAATACGATGAGTTAATCTTCTGTCTTCGGAATCTTCATGAATACTAACTTTTTGTTTCCGTTTAAGCCCAGGCTAATTCTATTTCCTTCTCCCTCATGTCAAGCCGTGTCTCATGCCTATTGGCTTGAATTCAAACTTAGAAAATATAATTCCCGGTCCAACGGCGGCGTGGTTCTCCACGCGCCCAAACATGCGTTCAAAGCATTCTCTGGGTTGGCATTTTTTAACTGCGGAATCGTTTTACATGATATAGATGAGGTGACTTGTTATCCGTCCCACTGCTATGGTTACTATAGTTTATTTACAAATAAGTCTCTCTCCATGCTTACAATATTATTAAAATTACAATATTAACTAACATTGAATTTTAAGATGTTGAGATAGTTCTTACGATAAAAAATATCGACAAACATTGAATTTCTGATATATTATGGCAAGCTGTTCAATACTCCGATTTACTTAACGGTTCTAAGGTTGTTCAGAACTTTTGTTTTGTAAATCTCGGGATCAAATATTGATCTCCATCTTGTAACGACCTATAAATTACTGCAAAGGGGGTATTTGCTTAAAATGATCTCGAATTAAATTCTGGTTTGATCGCAACTAAATTTACTCGTTGTTTGTTGCGTCTATAAAGTAAAATGGTTAAAAACGACTTATAGCTAAGAGCATAGAGTCAAAATAAATTCCCTTATTTCCAGCTTATATATACTATGGCTAATACTATATATTTCCAGGATATATTGATTATGGCTAATACTCTATATTTCCAGGATATATTGATTATGGATAATACTATATACTTCCAGGATATATTGACTATGGATAATACTATATACTTCCAGGATATATTGACTATGGATAATACTATATATTTCCAGGATATATTGACTATGGATGTCCATGTGGGGAAAGAGATGCGACAGAGGAAGAGGTAGAAAATGAAAAATTTAATCTCTACAATATGGTTGTTACAAATTTAACAAAGTTAAGGCATAATAATCCTTCAAGAAATCATCAGAAATCCGCGAAATTGGGATCAGTTCATTATTCAATATGGTCATTTTTATATCTGCAAAGAACTTTGAAATATTTAACCCTATAAAGGCTTGGGGGGTCTGAATCTATGTATAATCTGGGGATTGGGGCAAACGACGTCCCCTTCCCCTAGAAAAACACTTTAGATTCTAAGTATGTGGTTAAAATGCATGTTAATAGCCCAATTCTGCAAGGCCAGCTCATTGAAAAAAAATCAGACCGCTAACTTTCATAGTTTGCTTGCTAGGGAGGGTTGAAGAAATGCCAAAAAAAGGCTAGGAAAAATGTAAAAATAAATATTATTGTCTTATACAAATATCAAGATGTGACACATGTACCTCATTCCATTTTTCTCGCGCTTTTTAAACATGTAGTTTTTAATCTGTAGCAAAAAGTTACAGGTTATTTAAATTTTTTACACAGATCGGACTTTTCACCGTCCTGTGCTTTGGCAAAAATGAGAGTGCTTTGGCAAAATAAGCTTAGGGTTAAATGAACCTGAATCCTAGAAAAAACTCAAATTTCTTCACTCTGGAGCAAAGTAATTAACAGTTTTAAAAACAGAAGGCCTGCGGAGAAAGTAAGCAAAAAGTTCAGAAAGAAATTTTATCTCAAATAGGCAGTCAGTTTCGGACACAACTCATTTGTAAAGCAGAATTATGTCTTTAATAATAGAGCTGATATTTGTAGAGCAGAAATTTGTCTTTGATAATAGAGCTGATATTTGTAGAGCAGAATTTTGTCTTTGATAATAGAGCTGATAAAATGAGCGCAAACAATTCTAAACTCTAAATTTTTTAAAGTTAATATTTAAATGTCCAGACACAATTTACGTCATGAAGTAATTCTAGATTCAAAAGACTGTCACATTTTACACAGCATGCTTTTAGAATAATGAATATGTAATAGCTATATATTTAATATCTATACTCTAGAGATATAATTGGCACATTATACCATCAAAACCAATCCTTGACTGTTTAATACTGTTTATTAAAGTATTACAGATTAAAAGATATAACAAGAGCTTTATATGTCAGGACTGTATCAATATCGGTAAAAATCAAACAAGTGCAATAAACGTTATCTTCTACATTTTATAAAACAATGAAAAGTAAAGCGTATCAAGTAGAGAATAAAAATCTTCAATTGAATGACTTTAATATAAATTCTGTGAATTCCGTCAGAAAACTCAACACAAGAGCGAAAAATTTGAAAATCGTGTAATTATTTGAATTTTCTGATTAGATGAGAGGATGTTCTGACTCTGCACTACCAGAGGAAAACGGAGAATCATCTTCAGAGCAGAGGTATACCAGGGGATCAGAGGTATACCGGGGGATCAGAGGTANTATTACAGAACTGAATAGTTCTATACCAGGGGATCAGAGGTGTAAACCAAAGAATATCTGTTATAATTATTACTGTGCACACATGCAACATATGATTTGATTGATTGATTGATTGATTAAAAGTCTAATTTTTTTTCAGATTTATTGGAGGATGCCAGGCTGGGAAGACGGCTTGGTATGTGTCATTTGCCTTAAAGGAAAAAAGATGAAATTTATTTTTTGAAATTTCAACAAAAGCAACAAATTTATTTAAAAGAATGCAACTGTAATTTCCTAGTCCTAATATCATGGAACCTGATGGTGTAATGAAACTGTAATTTCCTAGTCCTAATAACGTGGAACCTGATGGTGTAATGAAACTGTAATTTCCTAGTCCTAATTTCATGGAACCAGATGGTGTAATGAAACTGTAATTTCCTAGTCCTAATATCATGGAACCTGATGGTGTAATGAAACTTTAATTTCCTAGTCCTAATGTCGTGGAACCTGATGGGGTAAAGAAACTGTAATTTCCTAGTCCTAATGTCATGGAACCTGATGGTGTAATGAAACTGTAATTTCCTAGTCCTAATGTCGTGGAACCTGATGGTGAAATGAAACTGTAAGTTCCTGGTCCTAATATCATGGAACCAGATGGTGTAATGAAACTGTAATTTTTCTAGTCCTAATTCCATGGAACCTGATGGTTCAAAGAAACTGTAATTTTCTAGTCCTAATGTCGTGGAACCTGATGGTGTAATGAAACTGTAATTTCCTAGGCGTAGCGTCAAGGAACCAGATGGTGTAATGAAACTGTAAGTTCCTGGTCCTAATATCATGGAACCTGATATTTCAAACTAAAACTGTAATTTCCTAGTCCTAATATCATGGAACCAGATGGTTTAATGAAACTGTAATTTCCTAGTCCTAATATCATGAAACCTGATATTTCAAACTAAAACTGTCAGCTAGAGCACAGTTTGAAATATTAAAGATCAAGAGCATCAATGATAGAGATGAGAAAATTAGAGTTGGGTCAAAAACTTAGTTTGTTCATATAATATCAACTGTTCCTTATATAAACTAAACATAACTAGATTCTCATCATAAACTGCAATTGTCTAGTCCTTATATCTATACAACCTGATGTGACATCAGATTGTAAAGATAGAGATTAAAAAGTTATATTTTGTGGCGAGCAGTTTGTTACTTTGATTTTTCATCTAGCTCTGATCCCAGTCTTTAAACTCCACCCGTCTAGCCCGCTGTGGAGGATCTTTAATCAACAAGTTCTGGGTGTTAAGCGCTGCACACTGCTTCTGTAATGATATATTCCCCTGCACCAGATTACCCAACGGAGGCCTTCAAGTATTAAACATTACTTATTCAGCAATATCGGTAAGCAATATTTTTTTCAATTCGAAAGTCAACATGAGAGTACAGGGTTACCCAGTGCAACTTAGGACATATCGTCATAAAAGTGAAACCCGGTATCGGAAACAGATTTTCAGGAATAGGGTTAGGCAATTTTGTAGATATCAATATATTTTTTAAGAAATATTATTTTGCATGGTTAGTTTTATATTTTATCTTTATTTTCATCTTCTTAATGTAAATCTACAAAAATGTATCGACCCCAAAAAGGAAACTCAGGAGTTTCGTTCAACGATACTCTTTTAAATTTCCCGGCACTTAAACTGTATTATTTGTTTCCTCATAATATATTTGTAGTTCCCAGTAACTTTAAACCTTTTTCTTTCATTATCACGTCAATAAAAAAGGCCATAAAAAGGCTCATATTCTAGTCAAAAATTTAATTTGACCTTGGAATCGCCATGTTTAAAAAGTTCCAGGTCGTCTTTACAGACTCAATCTCTCTGGGTGACCCTGTATATACAATGGGTATCAAAGAATGCGCCTTAAACCACTAAAAACCGTCCATGTGTCCTTTTTTCAATATATTTGAAATTGGTTAATTTAAGGCTAAAAACTAGTTTTAATTTCCTAAAACCGGCTTTTTGCTTTTAACTTGATTAATTTTCATGAATTCAGTGTTTCCAGTTTTAAAACCAATCTTGATTTCTTTTAAGGATTTTATTCTGGCTTACATCAGTAATTTGATTCACACAAATTAGCAAAAGTCATCAGTGTAAAAATTATTTTAAAAAAACAATTTTTAACTGTTTCTAAGAAAACTGCAAATTGAATTCAAGCATTTTTATCACAAAAGTGCCACATTGACCCTAGTTACACTTGTTTTCTTCTTTTTATCAGATCATTTTGTTCAGAAATTGTAAAAAGGGTAATGTTCACTTTTTGGGCAAAACTAGGGGTGAATGGTAAAAATTGCATTTCATTTTCTCAGAAAGATTAAAAATCGCTAGATTTCACATTAAAAAGATTTTGTCAGAAAAAGTATTTGCTTGATTTTATGTTGTAACGTCAACCCCGAACTACAATTATTTGATATAAATGGAATAAATGCCAAGAGGGCAAGGCCCGATTTACAATGGTATCCTTAAAGGGACTGTAAAGGAAAAATGAAAGGGGGTGTAAGATGAAACCTGAGAATCTCTGGCGTTAAACGATACATATAAGACATCTATCTGATGTTCCTGTCTCGAGAAATTGATATACTGGTCACGTGATTTCCATCTGTATCACGATACTGCACTGTTATTGGCGAAAGCTCTGGTGACGTAATACGGACTATACGGACTATATGTAATAATATTATCAATAAAATCAAAATTAAAAGATTATAAAAGGAGCAAACCTAAGAATCTCAGGCTCCTGTGGGTTATAATTGTTTTCAGATTGGTTTCGTATTTGCTAAATATGATCTGTTTAAACCTACAACTTTTATACAAAATTGCGTAAATATGAATTTTCGTATAAAGGAAATGAGTTTTTGCCACAAACTAAACTAATCCTAATCCCAATATCTTTTTAACACAATGCAGTAAACCTTAGCTATTTCAAACTATGAGTTCTGTTATATCAAATAATCCTAGTTTGAAATATCAAAGGTTTACGCAATCAAGATGCAAAGATATAGGGATGCAAAAATTTGAGTTTGCAGCAATGACTCAACTCCTTTGACACAGTTTTATATCAACTTTTTGTGACAAGAACATCAGATAGAAGTCTTTTATGTATCATTCAACGTCTGAGATTCTCAGGTTTCATCCTATACCCCCTTTCATTTTTCCTTTACAGTCCCTTTAAAACCTTTAAGTGTCTTAGAGTACAGAGATATGTATGTAGATGAAACCTTATCGAAACCTCCTTGCATTCATCTGAAAATTCCTGTGTGCGCTGTGTTGAGTTCAGACTGCACACAGCGCATACTGTAGCACAAAGTTTTTAAGGGTACCGTTGTAAATCAGTCATTGACCTCTTTGCATGCAGTGTCACTTGAAATTACACTGACAGTCCCCTTAAACCCTTAATAATTCAATTTTTCAGCTTTTCATCGGAGCAGAGAAATTTATAACACCTTCACCTGCGACATCTCACGGGTTCAGTTCAAATTCACCAAACAAGTTTCAATTCAGGAACATGGATAGATAGATACAGTTTTCACTTAGCAAACCTTCTTGGTTAGAAAATAAAATAATCTTGATATGATTTATCAATCTATCTCTAATACCGTTATTCAGAGCAGTTGAAATTATTATTCATCCAAGATTCAATTCCATAGGTTATGTATTTATAATTTAAATATGGGATAACATAGGTTATACATTTATACTTCTAAATATGGGATAACATAGGTTATACATTTATTCTTCTAAATATGGGATAACATAAATTATACATTTATACTTCTAAATATGGGATAACATAGGTTATGCATTTATACTTCTAAATATGGGATAACATAGGTTATATATTTATACTTCAAAATATGGGATAACATAGGTTATACATTTATACTTCTAAATATGGGATAACATTGGTTATATATTTATACTTCTAAATATGGGATAACATAGGTTATACATTTATTCTTCTAAATATGGGATAACATAAATTATACATTTATACTTCTAAATATGGGATAACATAGGTTATACATTTATACTTCTAAATATGGGATAAAATAGGTTATGCATTTATACTTCTAAATATGGGATAACATAGGTTATATATTTATACTTCTAAATATGGGATAACATAGGTTATACATTTATACTTCTAAATATGGGATAACATAGGTTATGCATTTATACTTCTAAATATGGGATAACATAGGTTATATATTTATACTTCAAAATATGGGATAACATAGGTTATACATTTACACTTCTAAATATAGGAGTTCACTAGATCTTGAGTTCACTAGATCTCGAGTTCACTAGATCTCGAGTTCACTAGATCTCGAGTTCACTAGATCTCGAGTTCTCAGCCGCTGAATTCTTAGGCTTAGCCGGATACATAAAAATCCCCTATTTTGTTCTAATTAAAATGGGCCTTTCTTTACAGTACATACAATACATTCAAACTATTTTTAGTCAAATTACGAGGAAAAAGATATCTCAGACAAGATCATGATATTGCTCTGGTCAGGTAAACTATGTTTTATAATCCCTATATCTTTGTAACCTGATGGTGTTACTTTTTAATATTTCAAACTTAGACTATTTGATCAAACAGAATGCATATGTAGAAATATTCGATAATTTATAACATTGAGTTGCAAAGATATAGGGATTAAAAGTTTAGAATTTACGGAAAAAACAAAGTCTCTTTATTTAACCCTATCCCCGCTGGGGTACTTGAAAACCAGGATACGCTGGGGGGGGGTCAATTTGACCCCCCCTCTAAATCCCATGTTTTATGTCCAAATATGACAAATGATACATCATTAGAAAGCTCTTGTGCTCTACTTTTAGAATCTGCAAAAAAATTTGCAAATTTGCGAAAATTGAATTTTTTATCGCAAAATCCAGTTTTATAGTAAAAATGTTTGCAAAAAAAAATTTGTCCAAAAAATGACAAATTATACATTTTTGAAAAGCCCTTGACCATGCCATTTCAAATATGCCAAAATTTTTGCAAAATTTTAAATAACCTGATTTTTAATCAAGAAAAACTAAAAATGTGTAAATTTCCTTTGACAGGTTGTTTGCAAAAAATTTGCAATTTTTTTTTCGCAAAACTTGTGCAATCCGTTTCCTTATGTCATAGGCTTTCCAAAAAGCTAAATTTTATCAAAATCTGACAAGTGAAAGTGGTTCAAAACAAAGATTTAGTTTGCTACAGGCAAAAGCAGTCATTCAGGCAGTGTGCCTGAGGACTCAGGCAGTTAGTATTAAAGCCCGGTTTTAGGCCTAAAGGGAGGGCTTTGGGTATGTAAGAAAAGTCAGAAAATTTCAACAGCCTCAGAACAATACTTTTTGAGTTATGTAAAAAAAACTACAGGGGGGGGTCAAATTGACCCCCCCCCCCCAGCGGGAATAGGGTTAAAAACAGATTAGATTTTGATAACTCAGCTTTAACTTTAATATTATAATTCCTCTATATACATTGATATTTCATACTTTAACTATTTGCTCTACTCAAATTCGATATCAAAATGCATTTTTAAGACGATTAGAATACTAGAGCTTGAATTAATTTATGTGTTTCTTTCTCAAGTGGGATGGTGGTAATAACAGTTTTTCTTTAACATTGGTATAATGACGGGAAAGGAAATGATTACTCGTTTTCTATCCATATATTTTTGTATACTGATGATTGAAACCTTTGATATTTCATACTGTAATAAATACCGTGGCAGATCCCATAACATTACACCGTAGATATATTACGTTGAACATTGTCTGTGAATCTAAATGCGCTTATCAAAACTACGCAAATCTTGTATTGTAATTAACCTAGCTACGTCTGTAAATAACTACGTCAATTCTCTATTGTGACTAGCTTAACTACGTTTGTATACAACGACGCAAAACTTGTAATGACGCCTATTAAGCTTAATCTGTAACCTAGAACCCAAAATACACTTAGTTGGAATTACAGTGTGAGAGTAATTACTTCTTGGTTAGAGAACGAAAAACATCCTGAATCCCTCTTATCGAAAGATATAGTTTGGGAACTGATACAGATAAAGTCGTGTCCGGATTGACATTGATACTAAAGTATTGTTGAGGTGTGTCTTGAAACATAGATACCTAAGAATGCGGAAGTATATGCCTGGATTGGTACCATATTACAGAACTGAATAGTTCTATGCCTTGTGGATAAATGAGAGGGATTGAGTTGTATCTTGAAACATAGATACCTGAGCTAATACGAAAGTATAAGCCTGGATTGGTACCATAATACAGACCTGTATAGTTCTATGCCTTGTGGATTAACGAGAGGGATTGAGTTGTACCTGGATTGATACGGGTCTAAACGGAATTAGTAGAGTAGGGCATTTACTACAATACCACAACTGATTAATCCATCAGAATATTCATATCTTGAAGTATAAAAATTCTACGACATCAGGTTGCAGCGATATAAGAATTTGAAAATTAAAGTTTGTTGCGTGTGTTATGTTCAATTATTAAGATTGGACTATCCAGTGCTTGATGAAGAATTTGGTATTGGAGTTCTGAAGACAGAGGTACAAAAAATATTTAAACATTAGGTATTTTATCCAAGAAAATGGATTTACTCCGGGGTTTACTTTCATAGGATTGGAGGATTTAACTCAACGGTTTAATCCCAGAATAGGAAATAAGCGGAGTCAAACCTTATAGAAATCCAACGTATAGAAACAGCTTCGTATAGGAACAAGGCGTATTTTCCGGGAGAAGATTTTTTATATTTTTGAGAATTTAAACGTTTTTGTAAAACATTGAAGCTTATCACTATCGTTATCATAATTTCTATTTTTTTAACATACCCTAGACATTAAAGGTGCAAAATAGTTTAATATGTACATTTGTACTGCTTTCTATTGTGTTTAAGGTCCCCCAGATTTTATTATGTACTGACAAATTGTGTGTCACATATTAAAAAAAATTAGTTTATAAAAGTGCTATCAACAGTTTTATTTTTAGAAAAAAAAAATTCTCGAAAGGATAAAAAAAAGTTCTCCAGTAATGCTAGTATGATTTCATAGAATTACGTTTTACCACTTAAATAAAAGGATTTTATGAAAATTATATCTACTTTTCACTGATTATTTAATTTCTCAAAAATATAAAAAATGTTCTCCCGGAAAATACACCTTGTTGCTATACGTAGCGGTTTCTATACGCTGAATTTCTATAAGGTTCGACTCCGAAATAAGCCTTTGCCACAAATTCAAATGTTCTAATCCAATTATATCTTTGCAACCTGCTTGTATAAACATTATATATTTAAAACTTAGATTATTTGATCTAACAAATTTCATACTACATCAGGTTTCGAAGATATAGGGATTAGAAAACCAAAGTTTGTGGCTAATGCTTTTCTGGGATTAAACCGTGAAATTTAATCCTCCAAAGTAAATTCCGAAGTGTTTACTCCAGGGGTAATGTAATTTTTATTCTAAAAGCTTAAAGGAACTGAAAACTTTTAAATGAATGGGATCAGATAAACTATTTTTCTCCATGCCATATTTACTTTCTCTTATTGTTTAAAGCCCCGAAACTCAGGTTTTTATATCGCTATATTTGTGTGACCAGTGGCCGAATTTAAAGAATTTGAGCGGCGGTTTAAATTTAAGCCGCGGTTTAAATATGGTTGGTTCTACTTAAAATTGTATCGAATGTTTCATGATTTAAACCGGCGCTTAATTTAAACCGGGTTTTGGCGGATTCAAACCGCGGCTCAAATTCTTTAAATTCCATCTCAGTGTCCGAATTATATAAATTTGAACCGCGTCTTAAATCCGCCAAAAACCGGTTTCAATTGAGCGCCGGCTTAAATCTTGAAACATTGAATGCAATTTTAAGTGAAACCAACCATATTTGAGCCGCAGCTTAAATTTAAGCCGCCGCTCAAGTTCTTTAAATTCGGCCTCAGATTGTATAAACATTAGATATTCAAAACAGAATTCATGATTTAAAATATCTAAGGTCTACGACATTGGGTTGCGAATATATGGGAATTAGAAAATCAGATTTTGTGGCAAAAATTCACTTCCTTAACTCGAGGGTTTAAAAGAACAGGAAACTTTAATTGAATATAATAGGATAAATAAATAAACAATAATAAATAATGTAATTTGTATTTTAAAAGCTTGACAAGTTTTGTAGATAGGAGACGGGTTCAGTAAGGATACAATAATGCCTATTTGTCTACCAAATGCCAAAGTGAAGGATAGAATGGTGAAAGCCATGGCTATTGGATTTGGACGACTGCGGGAGATGAGACAATGTCTGACAGATGACAGCGGACCTGATGTCTTTGCTCCCTGTGCAAAAAGATGGATCGGACCTAAACCTCATGATCAGTAAGTTCCAAGGAGTATGGAATACAATGGAGGAGGGGTCGACCCGGTCCGTCTCACCATATGATTATGCATGCTTTAATTGCTGAACTGTTCGCCATCTGGAAAAGAGTTTTGTTAAAGGTCGTCTTTTTATTTTTCAAATGTGGTTTTTATTTTAAAAAATTACCTTAGTGTTGCCAAAATTTTTGCATTCCTAAAAAATTCTTTTATTTTGTCTTTTAGTCTACTTTTCATCTTGTATAATGTAGACAATGACCTATTCTAAAAACAAACACGCGGCGTTTGTACATCGATCAGACAGTTATAGGTCATTGTACATTACACACCAAGAAAAGCTAAATAACGCAAAGCAAAGACATATTTTTTACTAAAAAACCACAGATAAAAATAAAAAGACAACTTTTGAGAAATCTCTTTTCAAAATTGAGTACCGTCTGTTTAGCATGTATAATCGTATGGTGAGGCGGACCGGGTCGACCCCTCTTCCATTGTATTCCATACTCTCTTGGTAAGTTCCTAAACCTGCTTCATTTTAAACTAAAGTAAAGTATTTGACGCATTTTTGATAAAAATGCTCAAATCTACCTTGCACCAGTTCTAAAATTTTCTTTGATACAATTTTTCTTTGATACAATTTCAGAGTATAAAAAAAAACTAGATTGTTAGCCTTAAATCAAAAATTTTTGATCTTTGGATAATCATGTGTTTTTAAAAAAAACTGAATAATCGACCTTTCCTGAAGACCTGTGTGTTTTTTTATTCGTTATAACTAAATGAGTTTCGATTTTTCAATTTTTCTTTTATAAATGTTGCTTCTAAGTTGCTACTGTATATTTTTTTGCGAAAAGGTTTTGACATTTTCGATGAAATAGTTTCATCCTGACAGTAGTAAAATAGTTTCATCCTGACAGTAGTAAAATAGTTTCATCCTGACAGTAGTAAAATAGTTTCATCCTTTTCATCCTGACAGTAGTAAAAGCACAAAAATGTTTTGAATTTCTAATATGCAACCTTACTCATACTTTTGCATAAAATCAAATAAAGAGGCTACAAGGGCGCAAGATCGTACCAGTAGTTTCCTCATGCTCTATTTTCCAATCTTTATATCTGTCCTTTCCACCTTTGATATTTCAACCTGTGTATATTCTAAAAGAATAAGTAGTTTAGGTTTAAAATATCAAATCTACAAAACATTTTTGCCACATTTAAAAAATATATGTACATAATTTTTATTGTTTATGTTTTCAGAGAGAAAACTAAGGATAATAAAGAATATTTAAAATATCATCAAGCTGTTCCTGAAGGTAGGTTAAATAATTTAAAATTTAGTAAATGTTAAATTTGAGATATCTTTTAAATGTTTTTATATCTTAAAGGGACAGACAGGCTATGTAAGGTAGTTAAACTGAGTATGCAGTGTTGTGGACAAATTCTTTAGGATTCATTTAAGACATATAAAACGTTTCCAAGATGTATATATACTGAGTTTGAGTGCATAGTCGTTGGGTGGGTAAGTTTTCAGAATCGGTTTTTTTTAAATTATTAAATAACGACGACGAAAAATAAAGTAAAAGTTTTAAACTAATTAGATGTTTAGAAACATATTTCTCAATAGAAATTTGTCAATAAATTAATTATTTCGTTTTCATCATTATATTGAATTTCTTATTTTCTATGAATTTTTTCGCAGATGTCTACAAATTCTTCAAATGTCGTCTTTTCAATAAAAATTCCAGAATATCTGCTGAAAATATTTGTGAATAATCAGAGATTATAGAAACTAATGATTGAATAAGATTACTTATTTTCGATGATAAGATTAATTTTTTTTATTTTCTCAACCTGTTCCTAAACAACTAATTAGTTTACTGTTGAATTTTGCTAACATTTCTTTGTCGTCGTTATTTAAAAATGTTTTTTAAAAATTCTGAAAACGTATCCACTAAAAAGTAGAAGTTTTGAACGTGGACTTTGAGCTCAAACTCAGGATTTACAGATCTTTAAAAAGTTTTATATGTCTCAAATTAATCCGAAAGTAGTTTCCACAACACTGCATACTCAGTTCAACTACCTTACTTATGTATGGCCTAATTCAATTTTCTTGATTGATATCTCGGATTTAAAGATAAAGGTTATTAAGCTGAAAAATCGGAATGTAACACTTAATTTATTTATCAGTCAAAGATGTATTCACATTATAGAGGTCAGAAGTTTCGTATTCTTGATCCATATTAAAGGGACTGTATGTGTAATTTCAAGTGACCCTGCAAAGAAAAAGGGCATTGCCCAATTTATATTGGTACCCTTGAAACCTTTGACTTTTTGTCGAGTGAAAAGATCTGTTTAAACCTGGAATCAACTTGAATTCCTCTAAGACTTGGCCTGAGGCCGAATTTAAAGAATTTGAGCAGCGGCTTAAATTTAAGCCACGGCTCAAATATGGTTGGTTCCTTTTAAAATTGCATCAAATTTTCAAGATTTAAGCCGCTGCTCAATTGAAACCGGTTTTGGGGGATTTGAGACGCGGCTTAAATTCATTAAATTCGGACACTGTACAGAATAACCCCAACGCAATTCAAAGTATCGACTGTTTTACGTTAACAACAGTTTTCAAATTTTGTCACTTTAAGATATATAACAGCTCTTTTAAGATCGACCAATCAGAATTCACAAAATCATCTCTCAGCCAATGAGAGATTAAAAAAATACGAGTCAGCTGTTTTTCAAGGTTTATCACTGATCATCGCTTCAAATTAAAAGTTCCGACCTGTTCACAAAACCTTTAACTATTTGGGTTGGAAATGTCTGTAAACATGAATTGGTTTGTTTATAAATGATATATTTAGAAAACCAGGATGGAGTTTTTAATTGTGAAAATAACCTTCCTCCTCCAAGTTCATTGGATCAAGTTTGTGTCAAGTTTAACCAGAAGGTTAGAAGCTGGAAACTCTTGTATTGAGATATTTAAATCAATGCTCCTCTTTTTGTTAATCCGGAGATTAAATAACCCTTTATTTAATATCCATGAAAGTGTCTCAAATTCAACCAATCAGAGTTTCGTTTGCAGAAACCGAAAACCCAATCGGAAGCCGTGAAATTTTTCACATAATCAATGAGAGAACTCTCATTGGTCGGAACCCAGCATGGATATCCAAAAGAGAGGATTAGTAAGAAAATCAAAAGTGGTCACAGTGGATATCGAGATCAAGTGAACGGTATAAAGGGTATCCCAGACAAGAGGTTCCAGCTCTGATCAAATAAAAACCAGTTTTACTTGGTTTTCTTCTAATTCGGTGAAATTATTAAATATTTATAAATTGTGTTCATCATATGTTTAGTTGAACTCCAAAATAATCCTAAAATTGAGTAAAATAGCAAGGATAAAATCATGGCCAAAATAATTCAAAAATACGATCCAGCAATTTAACTCATTTTTTACAATATCAAGAAACATTACTTTTCCTGCAGAATTTTAAAATCTAAATAACAAAATCCAAAATAAAACTTGTATCAGATTTAAACGCATTTTATGACTGTCATTGTATTTTCAAGTGACCCTCCATGAAGAGCATGCCAGATTAACATCGATACCATTTAAGCTTTTAATTATTTGTTCGATAATGTAAAAATAAATTGTTGATTTTCTAGCTGGAAAAGTGTTCAATTCTCACAATTTCCTTCTTTATGATACTGAAACAGAACTCCGTTCAAGACTCAATTTTTAATTCTTCATTTATTTTTGATTATAAGCTGAACTAAGGTTTTAAAGGTACCGTTGTCCATCATACATGCTAAGAAGGGTCACTTGCAAATACGTGTACAGTCCCTTTAAATGGTTTTATTTTAGACTAGCTTGGGCCCCACCGCCATGCCAAGGTTACTAAAAGTTACTTCCGTCGTTTACCCGCACTTGAACTATTTTACCGGAAAACTAAATATTGACTATTAAAGTCTATCTACTCGACCTCCCGTTTCCCCAATTAAAATTTGAGGCAAATCGGTCCGGGGTTCCTGAGTTATTATCGGACAAACAAACAGACAGACAGACAGATATTACAACTTTATATATTTGAAATTTTCTAGTTGGTAGATCTTCAAACCCGGCATAAGAATAAAGAACTGTTAACTCAAGAAGACAGAAAACTTCTTTCAGTGTACTCTATTACAAAGGTAAGTTACATTTCGTGTGAAGTTCCATATATTAGGAAATATACAATCTATATAATATAACAAGACAGTCGTATATATGTTCCCTACAGCCGGTCAAACGGCTGGACCGAATGGGTTGACATTTTTTGTGGACACTCATGAGTAGCGTGGGGGTGACATAGTCTAAAAATTTCGAATATTTGTTTTCAATTTTTTTTTCCACGGGCAACGCCGGGCCTTCAGCTAGTAAATATTATTTTAATAATATTTACTATAAAAATTATGAAATTTTCTTAAAGATAAATAGTCATAATAAAGAAAGATAAAATCTTTTAAAGCAAAATCATTTATAGAAAACATATTCATATGTTTTCTTACGTTTATGGGTCCAGTGTTTGAATTTAATAAATTTGAGCTGCGTCTTAAATCCACCAACAATTTAAGCCGCCGCTCAAATTCTTTAAATTCGGCCTCAGGCAGTGTATTTTTCTTTGACAAATATTTACTTACCACCATTAAAGAAATTATTAAAGAAATTATTAAAGAAATTATTAAAGAAATTATTAAAGAAATTATTAAAGAAATTATTAAAGAAATTATTAAAGAAATTATTAAAAGCAAGATAAACAATTTATTTTTCTTAACACTGTATTTAAAAGTGTTAAGTCGTCAGGAAAGTCCCATTTGTTTACGGGTATATAAATTTTTTATAAATTTTTAAAATATTTTTCAGGAATCTCTCCTCCTACCAACCAAAAACTTGACGCATCTGCTTAAAGAAAAGAACCTCTCCCATTGTTTTCCAACAGGTTCAGCATCTAAAATGTTTAATACAAATAATGATATAAATAAGAAATTTTAGAGTTGGATCCGGATGGGTTTGGATGGTGTGCCACGTGTAAGCTAAATGCATCAAGAAATGAGTCTGGATACTGCGATCGTAAGCTTTTTATATATATTTTTTTCATTAAATAATAAAATCTTTTTTTCATTTCAGCGGATCACAACGGTAAGATTCAGGAACTTTCATCAGATGAGTAAAGTTTTTATTTTTAATTTACAATATTTGAGAATTGGAATAGAAATAAGAAATTGACGTGGAAGCAGTTTGTTTACAAAAATTGTTTGAATTAAGATTGTTTGTTTAGAAAATTAAACTTGATTTACTTGTACTTGATTATGTTTAAATTACCATGTCAATTGTTTTAAACTAATTAGAATATTATTCATTATTCAACCTAAATAAATCAAAATATCAGGTTAATGTTATTTTTTGTTTTTGTAGTTTTACCTAATCAACAGGAAATAGCTATACCTGAACAAAATAAGGTAAATGGAATAAACACAGGAAAAAAGGGATTGCATATGCTTTTGGGAAAAAACATATGCAATTCTTTTAAATACAGTGAAAACCACCATCAAACTGGAGAAAACGACATTAAAACAATAATTGAGTGTATTTAATGTTGTTACAAAGCAAATAATTCACGGGCAGCCGTAGTACATTTGAATTTCCGAGCCGGGTCAACCTTTCCGGTCCCAGTTTGTACTGTACCTAGCTCTATGGGCTGGTGGGCTGGACTAGCCGGTGCAACAAGATTGACGCGATCAGACTTTATGCTTCATATAGGTTGAATTTACGTTTACTAAAAGGGCAGAGGTGCGTGAATTATACTAGAAACTTATTAAATCACTTTTTAAGGGAAATAAGTTTGTTTACACTTCACATTACTATGTCTTATGTTCATTAGACTATTTAAAGTCATAAATTGAGTTTCAAAGTCGTCTTCCTATTCCAGATTTTACTGGTTCTCACTGTAGAAACATAACTAAGTATTTCCGCTCAAAGATGTTTCTATAACAATCGATACTTTCTGTAGGAAAAAAAGACACAACTTTTTGCCAGAAAGGAATTATAAGTCTTTGCCTAAAATTCAATTTTTTATCCCTATATATTTGCAACCTGATGGTGCAAACCTTTGATATTTCAGCCTTAGGTTGTTTGATCAACCAGAACTCATAGTTTGAAATATCTAAGGTTACGACATCAGGTTGCATAGATATAGGGATTAGAAGATTTGATTCTGTGGCACTGAGACTCTTCTCCCTAACCAGGTTTATCTGACAAAAAAAATGAAAGACTGAAAGAATTTATCATGGCTTTTAAAGCAGCAAGATCATTTCGAATTTTTTTGTTTTTGTGTAAGTATTTATATTTTTGTTCTTGTGTAAGTATTTATGTTTTTGCATCAGGTTCTTACCAATAAATATACTTATTAGTTTGAGGCAAATGAACATTTAACATCGAACTTACTTTCAAGAAATTAACGCTGGGATTGTGATGTAACGTCTCTCAATTGCAATTAGAAAGGACTAGCCGGTGCAACAAGGTTGACGCGGTTAGACTTTATGCTTCATAAAGGTTGAATTTACTTTTACTAAAGGGGCAGAGGTGCGTAATTTCAAGTATACCTCCATGTAAAGAATGCCCGATTTATATCGGTTCCCTGAAAGCTTTCTCTAATCAAGAATTAGTTAGAACTGCAGGAATTTAACACTTTTTGAATCAGAAAAACGATGTTTGATCAGATCAAAGTTTCAAGGGTACCTTTGTTAATTGGACTTACCATCTTTGCTTGGAGAGTCACAGCAAATTACGCTTACAATTTATTTATTTTGATTTAGGGTTGGGGGTTCTGCAATGAAAACTGTAATAAAATGTAAGTATAAGGTACAGTTCATAAGTAACGAAATATATCTTTGCAACAAACTCTGATTTTTTAATCCCTATATCTTTGCAACCAAATGTCGCAGAGTTTAATTAACAACAGTTTATTTTATCAGGTCGAAAAGATATAGGGATTACAAATTTGAATTTGTTGCAAAGGCTCAATTTCTTCCAGGGGTTCTTCTGATAGAAAAAAACTTATACTTTTATTTTTAACACCTAATACATTTCAAAATTGTCAAAGTTGTTCGAAATTATGAACAAGTGTTTGTAATTATGAACAAGTGTTTGTAATTATGAACAAGTGTTTGTAATTATGAACAAGTGTTTGTAATTATGAACAAGTGATCGAAATTATGAAGACATGTTTGTAATTATGAACAAAATATTCAAATTTTAGATAATTGATATTATTCAGGACTAAATTTTTTAAAGATTAAGGCTACCTGAAAAGAAATTAATTAAGTCTTTGTCACAAATTTTCTAGTCCCTATATCTTTGCAACCTTATGATGTAAACCTTTGATATTTCAAACTTTAGCTATTTGATCTATCAGAATTCATAATCTAAAATATCTAAGGACTCCGACATTAGGTTCCAGATATATAGGGATTAGACAATCAGAGTGGCAAGAACTCAATTCTTTTAAATTTTCTAGATCACTTGCTGACAATTTAAAAATGACTAAACTGAGTATTTTGTCAAAGAGACAATGCGACGGTAAGTTCATTTTAAAAAGTATTTAAAAGTTTAATATATAAAAAAGTTTAATTTTTTCAGGTGCGTTATCAGGTGAATAAGTTTAATGAGATAGAAGAGATGTAAAAGTAAAAAAAATTGAACCTAATTTAATGAATCTAAGTCGTGTCTCAAATTCGCCAAAAACCGGTTTTAATTGAGCACCAGCTTAAATCTTAAAACATTGAATACGATTTTAAGTGGAAGCAACCATATTTTAAATTCGGCCTCAGAGCTCTGAATTGTTTAGTCGACTTAGTTGAAAAATGAATTTAGATAGTTTAACCGCATACTTCTCGTAAGTAATGAATTATTTTTATTTATTATTTTCATCAGGAATTGATGCTTTGCCACAAACTCGAGGTTTCCAATCCCCATATCTTTTCAACCTGAAGCTCAAACTTAGATTATGTGATCTGACAGAATTTATATGTTGTTTTAAATATCTAAGCTTTATGACTTTGGGTTGCAAAGATATAGGAATAAAAAATCAGAGTTTGTTGCAAGAACTTTGACATCAGTAAATAAATGACTTAAAATTATAACGGAGTCAACTTGTTTAGTTTTCCTCTAAATTAAAAGGCATGACTTATGACCCTTAGCTCATTCAAATGTTCTCACATCTAAAAATTATTCAAAAAACTTTAAAATGCTTGAAATGTTTGACTGCTAATTCAAAAATCAGTCTTTTTTTGTAAATTTTTCCAGAATTTTGTGATTTTATTTTAAAAGAATTGTATTCTGCAGTTTCGTTCGTAACACTCAACAAGAATTTTCTCAAGAGTAATTTTTTCCATTTTTACAAGTATCATCTATTCGGGGTTCACAAGTACTTTAACCCTATTCATCCTGGGGGGGGGGGGTTCAATTTCAGCCCACCCCTTATCGTTCTTTTTGCGATAACTCTAAAACTATTTGAGCTAGGAAGATCAAAATTTCTGACTTTTATAACTAACTAGCTGGGCTTTTATACCTACTGCCTGAGTCCATTGCAGATATACTGCTAAATACCTTATTTTACCTATACCATACTAAAACTATATTTAGACCTACTTCTAGTCATTGGATTTCAACATTTTGTATCTGTTTGGAAAAGCCTATAACAAAAACAACCAGATTGCACAATTTTTGTAAATAAATTTTGCACAGAGGCCTTTCAATTGGAATTTGCACATTTTAAGATTTTCTTGAATACACATTTAGGTTTTAAAATTTTGCACATTTGAATTCAATGGGTCAAAGGATTTTCAAAAATGTATAATTTGTTGCAATTTGCGCAATTTTTTCTTGCGCATTTTTTCCTTAATAATTATTTTTCGCATTAAATATTTGGGGTTTTGCAAATTTGCCTCTGTATTTGCAGATTATTGAAGTAGAGCCCAGGGCCTTTCCAAAACCGTATCGAGTGTTACAGATTTGTATCACAATAAGAAAATAGAAGGAGGGGGTCCCTCCTCCAATGAACCAGTCATGAAACCAGACGTCAGGATAAATAGGGTTAATGGGATTGAAACGTAATTTCAAGCGATCCTCCATTTTGCATTCACATAAATATTCATATTTTTATTTTATTAGATATAATTATATTTTTATGTCTTGAAATAATAAATTATCATCTAGAAAAACAGGAATTTCTCAGAAAAAGTTAATTGTTGTGAATAGGATATGCCACTCTATAAAATGGAGGGTTACTTGGAGGGGAGTAGAGGAACTGGTTCACTAGATGGACTGTAGGCGTAATTTTACTAGACTCTCCATATTTAGAGTTGCATGTCATATTTACAACGGAACCCTAAACTTGAATCTGATTTACGATATATCACGGGCAGCCGTAGTACATTTGAATTTCCGAGCCGGGTCAACCTTTCCGGTTCCAGTTTGTGCTGTATGGGTAAATAAAGCAGACACTCAATAGGACTAGACGTTGCAACAAGGTTGACGCGGTCAGACTTTAGGCTGAATTTACTTTTACTGAAGGGTTTGAGGTACGTCATATACTAGGATTTCAAGCTAGAAAACGATGTTAGTTTCCAAATTATCAATCAGATTAAGGGTTTAAGGTTACTGTTGTGAATCAGACATGTCCCTCTTTAAAGGGAGTATCACCTAAAATTAGACGACAGTCCCTTTAATTAAAATGATTATTTGTATACATGTTGTGAAAGATCTAATTGTTGAGGTAAGTTCTTGGTAACCTGGTGAATGAGAAGATGAATATTCTAACTGTAAACTCCAGGGTTGAACTCTGTGCTGCTCATCTTAACAAACTCAACCTTACAGTCTTCAACTACACCCAGGAGACAGATAACAGTAATATTATATATTATAAAGATTATAAAGATTAAACACATTAAATAGATTATACAGATTATACAGATTAAATAGATTATACAGATTATAAAAATTATACAGATTATATAGATTATACAGATTATAAAGATATACAGATTATACAGATTATACAGATTATACAGATTATACAGATTATACAGATTATACATATTATACAGACTAAACATTTTATACAGATTACACAGATTAAATAGATTATACAGAATAAATAGATTTTACAGATTATAGAGACTAAACAGATTATACAGATTATACAGATTAAATAGATTATTCAGATTATACAGATTATAAATATTATATAGATTATACAGATTATACAGATTATAAAGATTATACAGATTATAAAGATTATACAGATTATACAGATTATGCAGAGTATACACATTATACAGATTATACAGATTAAAGAGAGTATACAGATTATACAGAGTATACACAGTTTACAGATAGGACAAGAAATGTAGTTAGAGGATTGCACAGATAGAACAAGAGATTTAGTTGAAGGATTATACAAATAGGCCAAAAGATGTAGTTTAAGGAATATACATGTTACGCGAGCCATGCTGCGTGTAGAAAGTCTGCTTGTCACCCCTGGGTATTTCTGAGGTCCCCCTGAAGAGCTGTACGGAATGTATTGTGAAAGAACTAGTTTAGGAACTGTTTACAGTCCGACTGCGCAGACGCAAGATTTCTAGCGGAGTAGTAGTTATATTTATATTCAGTATATGTTTATTCGTTTTGCAAGTATTTTCCGTGTTCAGAATTCTGGGATCACCGTGGTAATTATTTTATATATATCTATGTTTATTGGTTGATTCTAGTATGATTGATGATTGTGTATTCGTTTATTGGTTCCTAGCCACAGTTTTTTAATGCCTGAGTGGATTATTTGTTATATGTGTATGATTTTCACTCAAAGCTTTTTCTGTGGGTTTATTAAACTTGTTTAGATTGAAGGCTCAGAGAAATAAACGTTCGGAACCTTACTATCTTCCTTTTTATTATGACGAGCGTTGAGAGAAGGGAGTCTTACGATCCAATCCTGAGAAATACCACACGGTACATATATTAGGTCTTTAGGGAAATCGCTAAGTAGCGAAACAATACAGATAGGACAAAAGATGTAGTTGAAGGAATATACAGATAGAACAAGAGATGTAGTGGAAGGATTATACAGATAGTACAACAGATGTAGTTGAAGGATTACACAGATAGGACAAGAAATGTAGTTGAAGGATTACACAGATAGGACAAGAGATGTAGTGGAAGGATTACACAGATATAACAAAAGATGTAGTTTAAGGATTACACAGATAGGACAAGAGATGTATGGAAGGATTACACAGATAGAACAAAAGATGTAGTTTAAAGATTACACAGATAGGACAAGAGATGTAGTGGAAGGATTACACAGATAGGACAAGATATGTAATTGTAGGATTACATAGTTCTGAAAGTTATGTAGTTGTAGGATTACAAAGGTAGAATAAGAGATGTAGTTGAAGGAATATACAGATAGGATAAGTGATTTGGTTGAAGGATTACAGAGATAGAACAAGAGATGTAATTGAAAGATCACACAGATAGAATCAGAAATGAAGTTGAAGGATTTACAGATAGGACAAGAGATGTAGTTGAAGGATTACACAGATAGGACAAGAAATGTAGTAGAAGGATTACACAGAAAGGGCAATATATGTAGTGGAAGGATTATACAGATAGGTCAAGATATGTAATTTAAGGATTACACAGATTGGACAAGAAATGTAGTTGAAGGAATATACAGATAGGACCAGATATTGGAGGATTACACAGATAGAGCAAAAGATGTAGTTGAAGGATTACACAGATAGAACAAGAGATGTAGTTCAAGAATTTCACAGATAGGACAAGAGATGTAGTTAAAGGATTACACAGATAGAACAAGAGATGTAGTTAAAGAATTACAGAGAACGAACAAGAGATGTAAATGAAAAATCAAACAGATAGATTAAGGTTGAAATATTACACAGATAGAATAATATGTGTAGTTGAAGGAATATGCAGATAGGACAAGAGATGTATTTGAAGGATTACACAGATAAAAAAAGATGTTTAGTTGAAGAATTACACAGATAGAAAAAGATATGTAGTTGAAGGATTACATAGTTTGTTAAAAACTAGCATCTAAAATATTACATTTTTAATTTCAGGTTTATTATTTGTAGAATCTTTTATTCAGGAAATGACTTTAGTTTGTTTGATATGAAGAATGGGTCGAAAAATAAAAAGAACAAATTTTTTAGGTAATCTGAGCTGGAAACTTTTGAATGGTGGATATCGGGATTAATGCTTGATCCACTCTTTTTCTTAATCTCCAGATTAAATATTGCTTGTTCTCCTCTTTTATTTAATCTCCAGATTAATTAACCGATCGGGATTAAGAATTTCTCATTCTAAAGTTTTCAGCTGATCTTATTTTCATATTAGAAAAACTTGTTTTTTTTCACAAATATATTTTCAGTTTTTAATCGGCAAAAAAATTTTAAATTTATGATTTCTGGAAGACTTCAGTTCAATCTACAAAAAATGTAAATTAAAAGTTTTTTTTTAAGAATTGGAATAAACAAAAGCATCAAACTTATATCCTGACTGCCATAAAAAGTTGCATAAATTTTAAAGACTGAGTCCACTTGTAAATGTCACAACGCCTTGGCCTTTTATCTAAGCTCACAAACTTACTATTTTACCTCACGAACTTCTATTTTACCTCACAAACTCACTATTTTACCTCACAAACTCACTATTTTACCTCACAAACTTACTATTTTACCTCACAAACTCACTATTTTACCTCACAAACTCACTATTTTACCTCACAAACTCACTATTTTACCTCACAAATTCACTATTTTACCTCACAAACTCACTATTTTACCTCACAAACTCACCATTTTACATCACAAACTCACTATTTTACCTCATAAACTAACTATTTTACCTCACAAACTCACCATTTTACATCACAAACTCACTATTTTACCTCACAAACTCACTATTTTACCTCACAAACTCACTATTTTACCTCACAAACGAACTATTTTACCTGATATACTCACTATGCACTACTTCTTTGAAGCCCTAGAAATGAACATGTTAGAACTCTAGAGCACTTATTTTTAGTTTTAGTTTTTTTAAGAAGTTTTTTGGCAAAATTCTCATTGATTTATGCTCAAGAGCTTGCAACATTTGGATCACGATCATCGAAAGCTATTTTTTCAGGTCCAAAAGGCTTGATAACACCAATTTAGGAGAGTTTTCCTCGAAAACCCAGCTAGTCATTGGTGGAAGTGACACATGTCAAGGTTAAATTTACATGTATTTAAAAACTGAAATTATTTTTTTTTTTTAAATATTAGCTTAATTCTACATAATTTGCTTACATAATAAAAAGATATATAATTAAATAATTGAATATTGAATAAAAAATAAAATTGATTAATTCAAAAAAAGATATTGTATGCCCTAATACAAATTTTTTTAAGAAAGTACTGTGTAATTCATATCTTTTTCAGTCCGACAAATTAAGTAGATTTGTTTTGATATAATCAATCAAAGTTCACACACACAGTCGGCTTTTTATCAATAATAGCTGACAATTTAGTCGTGTTCACATAACTTTGAAATTAAAAGTTTCGGTCTCACACTCACAGAAATTAATTAATTAAACCGGTTTTCTACTACAGGAGATAGTGGTGGACCTCTGTGGGTAGAATCTGATCTTGAAACTCACAACGGGAACTTGTCTAAAGTTGGTGTTCTCGTGGGGATAGTCAGGCACAATTAGCAAATATATTATTTAGCAACTAAATTTATAATCCTAATTTTAAAATTAAAAAATTCAATGTTTTCATTAAATATTTCAAGCCTATACAATATACCCCTTTTAATGTTTCTTAAACACTCCATTCAAAATTAAATATAATTTGATAATTATAAAATAGTCGCGGAAAGGGATGTGCGATGAGAAACTATCCTGGAATATATACAAGGGAAAACAAAAATATTTTAAAATCTAAAAGAATAATATTGAAACATTATGTCCAAAGAGAATAGAATATATATTAGAGTGGAATTTAGACAATCCCTCGGTATGAATTTTTTCAGTCCCTTTCAGCCCGAAAGGGAGTTCAAAGTGTACAAATCATGTAAATGTTCACAAATTATATGCAGTAGAGTACATTTATACAATATGTTCCCTAGACTATCCATTTCAATTTCAAATTTTTTAAAGCTGTTAAATAAACTTTATAAAATGAATTAGGTGAATAAAAAAATATCATTTGATTTATAGTTATAACGGAACATCATCGTTTGTAAAGTGAAAGGCATAGAGTCAATGTGAAATGATCATTGGTCAATTATGAAACCAGCCTATTTCATAATTTGGTTTTCTTTTAATATTAATTTTAGATTTTCTGTAAAATGATGTTCCAGGGCCCAAAAGGTTATATAGCACAAATATGTAAAGTACACCTGCAGTATGGAAACAGTACAACAAAATGGCCATTTTACACTTTTTTCTAGTAAATTCCACTCTAATATATATTCTATTCTCTTTGATTATGTCAGACTAATGAATTTACACTGAACTATTATGAATCTCTGGATTAAACGTTGACTTACATCTAATGCAGATCTACGGTTTTATTTAATTCCTCCTCGATATCCTGTTTTGGTCATACCCTGCAGGGATAACTTGAATTTGAAAGGACCCAGCATAGATATCACATTCAAAATTGCCCACATTGAATATCGAGATCAAGCCTTTAAGGGAGGCTGCATAAATACGGTTTTTATTAAAAAGGATAAAATTATCACCAAACATGTACGTGCAGTACAATCACTTATAATCTCTGATGTCAAGAAAGTTTATTTTATTTCAACATACTTATTATTTTAAGTTTTGTTTTACATAGAGTGAAAAGTGTTTGGAAGTGGGTTAGACATTATGCTGATAAAGAACAGGAATATGCTTACAGATTCATACCATATCATATTGTAAGTTTTTATACAGGGTGTCCCACGAAACATGACAATAGGAAGACGACTTGAAAGTCGTCTTTGTTATTTGAATTTATTTGTGACATTTAGTCTTCTATCTACTTTAACATGTGTGATTCTTGAAACAATTATCACATAATTCTCCTAGCCCTGGCATTTCCAAAAAGTGGTCTGCGTTTTTTGTGCTTTCAATATTACCTGAGATATAAAGAGTTTGGTTCAGATTTCAATTTTGTTAAATAAAAGCAAAATTGTCGAAATCTGAACGAAATTCTTCATATCTCGGGCAATATTGAAAGCACAAAAAAGGCAGACCACATTTTGGAAATGGCAGGACAAGGGAAATTTTGTGATTATTATCTCTAGAAATTTACTTCTAAAATTAGGTTGACAAATAAATGCAGCAAATTATATCAAAAATCAAGACGACATTCAAGGCGTCCTGCATACTGCCATGTTTCGTGGGACACCCTGTAGTTTACGGCATACTCACTTCATGGAGAATATTATTATTGACGTGCTGTAAAGTAATCATCGTGCTATAATTTTAAACTAGCGGTATATTTTAGCACAAGGCTGTAAAGTTTCGATTAATTACGGGATTTTCTTCAGATTTTTAATTTCTCTTTGCTAGAAAACATATTATTTATATCTAGAAAAAAACATTTCATTAAGAAAAGTACGCAAACAATTCGTAAATTACCTTTAACACTTTATTTTTGAAGCAACGTGTTATCAAGTGTTTGTACAAAAATAATCCAAAAAATCTTAAACCTTCTCGATAATGAGAAAATTTCTCAATGGATTTGTTTCCTCTGGCTCCATCAAACTCCCTTTTTGTATGTGCAATGATGAGTTGTTTAAAATGTAGTGTATGGTTTTGTTGACTTTTGGTGGATTTTCTGTCATATTTTGCGGATTTTTAAAAATTTAGCATAATATTTTACAGAAAATATCAATCATAAATTAAGATACTTAACAGTTAACACGCAGTGCAGATTTTAGATTTGTTATTTTATGATAGCATAGAGGTAGACTTAAAAAGGTTTTAACTAAGTTCCACGACTTTGAACCTGGCGGTCCCTCTGGTCCAGTGTGTTCTGTACAAAAACGTTTTTACAATTTTCGTATATTCATCAATGTAATCAGAAAGACTACATTAAAACTTAAAAATGTTTATAGATTAAAATTCATGTTTGTTGCTACCATTTTACTGGAATTCAAAGATGAAAATAATTTTATCTCGAAGATTACCGGAAAATACCAAAAAAAAAAATCCTGAAGCATGAGATTGATGTTCTAGCAAGGATTACAGAGAAATGATTGATTGATATTTGTTTAGCAAGGATTACCGGGAAGTGATTGTTTGATATTTTCTAGCAAGGATTACCAGGAAATGATTGTTTGATATTTTCTAGCAAGGATTACCTGGAAGTGCTTGTTTGATATTTTCTAGCAAGTATTACCAGGAATTGATTGTTTGATATTTTCTAGCAAGTATTACCAGAAAGTGATTGTTTGATATTTTCTAGCAAGGATTACCTGGAAGTGACTGCTTGATATTTTCTAGCAATGATTACCTGGAAGTGACTGCTTGATATTTTTCTAGCAAGGATTACCTGAAAGTGATTGTTTGATATTTTCTAGCAAGGATTACCTGGAAGTGACTGCTTGATATTTTCTAGCAAGGATTACCGGGAAGTGATTGTTTGATATTTGTCTAGCAAGGATTACCAGAAAGCAATTGTTTAATATTTTCTTGCAAGAATTTCCCGGAATTGATTGTTTGATATTTTTTAGCAAGGATTATCCGGAATTTCAGTATTTATATTTCTAGCAAGGATTTCTTGGAATTGAATGATCAATATTTTCTTGCAAGAATTTCCCGGAATTGATTAATTAATATTTTCTAGCAAGGATTACCCGGAATTGATTAATTAATATTTTCTCGAAAGGATTACCCGGAATTGATTAATTAATATTTTCTAGCAAGGATTACTTAAAAGTGATCGATTGTAATCTTTACCCAGAATTGATCAATTTATATTTCTGGCAAAGAATTTACCTGAATTAATTAGTTCATGTTTTCAAGCAAGGATTACCCTGAATTGATTAATGATTAATTTATATTTTCTAGCAAGGAGTATCCTGAATTGATTAATGATTGATTTATATTTTCTAACAAGGTTTGCCCTCAATTGATTAATAATTGATGATGTTTTCTAGCAAGGATTACCCTGAATTGATTAATGATTGATTTATATTTTCTAGCAAGGATTACCCTGAATTGATTAATGATTGATTGAGGTTTTCTAGCAAGGATTACCCTGAATTGATTAATGATTGATTTATATTTTCTAGCAAGGATTGCCTGGCGCTCCTTTACCCTCGGACCTAACCCAAACCTTCCTCATATCTCCATATTGCAGAAAAATAAATGTAAATTGTCTGAATTAATTACATTTCTTAAAATTTCTCACATTAAAGGGACTGTAAAGGAAAAATGAAATGAAATGAAATATAAGACATCTATCTGATGTTCCTGTCATAAGAAATTAATATTAAACCGTGCCAAATTTATACGAAAATTCATATATGTGCAATTTTGAAAACGACGATATCCCACAGGAGCCTGAGAATCTCCTGAGAGCTCCTATTATAATTTTTTAGTTTTTATTTTGCATTTTTAATAGATATAATTGATAATATGATTACATATAGTCCGCCGTATAGTCCGTATTAAGTCACCAGAACTTCAGCTAATGGCAGTGCAGTATCGTTATCACGTGATACAGACGGAAATCACGTGACCAGTATAGTTTTATATCAATTTCTTTAGACAGGAACATCAGATAGATGTCTTATGTGTATCGTTCAACGCCTGAGATTTTTTAGGTTTCACCCTATACCCCCTTTCATTTTTCCTGTACAGTCCCTTTAACAATCAGATAATATAAAAATCAATAACTGGGGAAAAAAAAGATTATATGAATTCTTTCCTAGATTACAGAGGTTGCTCAGGAGAAAAATGAAAGATAGCAGATTTAATTTTAAATTTGATAAAGTTGGTTATTTGTAAAATAAAAGTATTTTTGAGAAAAATAGAAATAAAACTTTGCTTTTAATTAAATAATAATTGGTGAGAAGTTCAGTTTTCTATAGCGGGACTCATAAAATTGCAGATCAGGATATTTATCGTGTGTATTGATGTTAAATTGTTATATAAAGCAAATTGTTTTGTGAAAATCAAATGGACTTGGGTATGTACACTGCACGATTTCTTAGTTTCATTTAAATTGGAATACTTAAAATCATACCTGTCATCTTCCTATTTGCACAGTTTTAATGGTGTATGTTTTACAGAAAATAACGCATTTTTGATTTAAAATAATAATTATCTTTCAGAACCGCCAGAAATAAGACGACATTCTCAAATCTCTGATTTTAACAGTCTCAAGTTCATGTTACAATCACGAAAATGTTAATTTCTATTCGAAATCAAAATGAACGATATTAAAAAAAACAGAGAGCTCATTTAAAATAAAGCTTATGCGCCGGAACCGTATTTAATGAAACATCGTAGAGACGGTTCAACCATTGTCCGATTTTAATGAATTTAAGCCGCGTCTCATATTCCCCCAAAACCAGTTTCAATTGAGCGCCGGCTTAAATCTTAAAATTTAATACAATTTTAAGTAGAACCAACCTTATTTGAGCCGCGGCTCAAATTCTTTAAATTCGGCCTCATGTGTCTTTTATGACTGGTTTGACTTAAAGTACCCCGAGCTAACTTAAATTTAAGTCGCGGCTCAAATTCTTTAAGTACAGCACCACAAACTAACCAGGGCGAGATGCATTCGGTTTTTGAATTCAATCACGTTTTGGTTTATAATTCAACAATCTTTAATCTTACGGAGTTGTCATTTTATTCTTATACGTTTCATACGCATGTGCCGGCATAAAAGTATAGAAGAAAAAACTTAAAATTCATGTTTAATTAGTCACAGTTCACTGAGATAAGGACCGAACCCTTAATTTTGCGTGATGAAGTCACTAAAAAATAAGAAATTGAGCATTTGGAGTTGTTGCTTCTTTGGTGGCTGTAGAATAAAACGTATAGTTAAGAATTATTTGAACATTATTAAAAATACAAAGAAATTATTTGAACGTCAAAAAAAATACAATTAAACCAATGTAAAAATGTTTGAAATGCGATATTCATAATTCAAGTAATACATTATTTAAATAACTTTTATTTAAATAAATTTTGAAATAAAACTTTTGGTAAAATTGAATGATTTTCCCATTTGAATTCATTGTAGAGAGGGTGGAATGTAATTTTACAAACCATTCTCCACGCTGAATATTAATACTTGTATTATACACGGTACCCGGAGTAAGCTCTTGTACTCTAGAATATGTGTAATCTAGATGAAAAATAGTTGTGTCAAAGTTTCCCGCACACAAACCCCCTTTCATAAATTACATTTAACCAGAGTAACCCTTGGTAAAATAAACTCACAACTCTCAAACTTAAACTCTAAATTTCTCTTTGAACAAATTTTCCATTTCAATTAATCCCTTCCCCTGTAATCCTTTCTTCCTGGAAACTTCTGAATATTTAAATTCATATATAATCTTCATTCAAATATGGAAAGATGAAGGGATAAAAAGATGGAAAGATGCATGTTTGAAAATTTGGAAAGATGCAGGTTTGAAAAGATAAAAAGATTTAGGTTTGAAAAGATGCAGGGATGAAAAGATGAAAAGATGCAGGGATGAAAAGATGAAAAGATGCAGTGATGAAAAGATGAAAAGATGCAGGGATGAAAAGATGAAAAGATGAAGGGATAAAAAGATGGAAAGATGCAGGGATGAAAAGATAAAAAGATGCAGGGATGAAAAGATTAAAAGTTGCAGGTTTGAAAAGATGAAAAGATGCAGGTTTGAAAAGTTATTGGCCATTAGTCTTCACAACAATGTAGGACGTTTAAAAAACCTCTGATTAAACTTTTATAAGTGGACAAAAATAAAAATCTATAAAAACATAAAATATATTCTTGAAAAATAGCATAAATTATCATCACAGTTCAAGTTTATAGAAAGAATACAAAAAACCAATTATAATCTCGTAATCTTAGTTTTTACGTGAAATTTTGGGAATAAGAAAATTCGAAGTCATACTTTAACTTACATTACAGTCCCTTTAAAAGGGCTATAAAGGAAAAATGAAAGGGGGTATAGGATGAAACCTGAGAATCTCAGGCGTTGAACAATACGATACAATAAGACATCTATCTGATGTTCCTGTCTCGAGAAATAAATATAAAACTGTGCTAAAAGTATACCAAAACGTATTTATGTAAGATTTTGTATAAGATTTGTAGTATTTAACATATTCAACAAATACGCAATTTATCTGAAAACAACGATATCCCAGAGGAGCCTGAGAAACTCAAGTTAGTTTCTATTATTATTTGAATTTAATGATTTTTAATTTTTAAAGGTATAATTAATAATATTATTTATGCGTCAGGAATATGTCACCAGAACTCCAACCAATGGCAGTGCAGTATTAATGTCACGTGTCTCCGCCTGTATCACGTGACCAGTATACTAAACTGCCATTGGAGGGAGTTTTGGTCACGTGATACGGACGTATATCTTACATATATATATATATATACGGTATGGTATAATTCTGACACAGTTTTATGTCAATTTATCGAGACAGGAACATCAGATAGATGTCTTATAGGTATCTTCAATGCCTGAGATTCTCGGGTTTCATCCTATACCCCTTTCATTTTTCCTTTAGAGTCCCATTAAGTTAGAATTTGTGAGATTATTTTTGCCATTCGAATAGATAAAATAATTTGTCATTTTTACAGGGTCAAAATTTAATGGAAAGAACGTTAGCTATGTTGCTAATTAGCTGACAATCATTGTCAAATGTAAAGGTTTCATACAAATATTTCTTTCTTACATCTGTAAAGCTAAAGGGTTGAAAGCAGCTAGTGGAATTTTCGATCATAATTCTTACATTTGAAAATTCAATAATAATTCATCAATCATAATAAACTTTTGATATTTGTCAAACCGAGCATTTTATACTTTAATGATATTTTTGATCGTCACATTTGGCTGAATATTATATTTTCTTTTTTTCTCAAATTTTTAGATTTTTTATATTTTGTTCAAGATATTTATGAAAGTATTAGAGTACAATGAAGATTTAATAGAATGGAGTTTCATTGTATCCTGATTGCTGCACTTTACGCTTTCTTTTTGGCGGGAAATCAAATGGATCAAAATCTCCATCGTCCAGTTTAACACGTGTTACTTCAACAGCTGTTCGTTCTAGTCCTAGCCGGTCAGAACTTTTCCTATTCTGACTCTTTTGTCTCTGCTGTTTCCTGATATTCAATCTTATCTGTTCTTCCTGTTCACTTTCAGAACCTTTAAAAAGAAAAAGAACGTAAAAAAAATAATAAATGACATTTTTTTCCAGGCGTATGCACGAGTTTATCCAGGGGGAGGGGGGGTAATATTAATTTTAAAATCAAAATTGTCTAAATATCTAACATTTTTTATGATGCTATTTAAAATACAAAGCATCAATTTATTTTTATGAAAATTGCAGTTTTTTCTTGTGTTAAAGGTTTTCACCTTGAAAATGTTCTACCACTGGTTGAAAAGCTTCAGAGTATAAATTCTCCTCCTGACACTGAAAAAAAAATTTAATTATCTCAAGTCTAAAATTTTAATCTGTCTTTTCTGATACAAAAGCCCCCTTACACAGATTAAAAATATATATATTTTCAGTGTATGTGTAATATTGTTTCAAGGCGAGAACAGTTCAATTACATTAAATAATGAGTTTGTGCATGTGTGCCGGGACAACTGGCTCATGTTGGAGTTAGTGTTATATCCTCCTTTCTCTACTCAGCTCTCCAGGGACTCATTCATTTAGGTTCAATACAGTTGGTTCTAGTTCATTTATCACCTAGAACCAGGGGGATACAGGAGAACCTGGTGGATACAGGGGAACCAGGGGGATACAAGGGAACCAGGGAGATACAGGAAAACCAGGGGGATACAGGGGAACCAGGGGTATACAGAGGAACCAGGGGGATACAGGGGAACCAGCGGGATACAGGGGAACCAGAGAGATACAGGAAAACCCGGGGGATACAGAGGAACCAGGGGATACAGGAAAACCTGGGGAATACAGGAGAACCAGGGGTATACAGAGGAACCAGGGGGATACAGGAGAAGCAGGGAGATACAGGAAAACCAGGTGGATACAGGAGAACCAGGGGTATACTGAGGAACCTGGTGGATACAAGAGAACCAGGGGTATACTGAGGAACCAGGTGGATACAGGAGAACCAGGGGTATACAGAGGAACCAGGGGGATACAGGAGAACCAGGGGGATACAGAGGAACCAGGGGGATACAGGAAAACCATGGGTATACAGGGTATCCAGGGGAAAAGGGTTCCATGGGGATACAAGGGATCCAGGAGGATACAAGGGTTCCAGGGGGATACAGGGGATCCAGGGGGATACAAGGGACCAGAAGAACTATAGAAGCTGAGAATACAGGATACTAATACTTGTAACATTGAGTAAATTATATTGCATTTGTAAAATTGTTAATAAACTGTTTTTTACAAATAAAAATATTTTAATCTAAAAAAATACTTTTGATTTATTTATCATCTAGAGCTAGAAAAACAAATAACAATGTGATTCAGTTTGTTCTTGAAGTTTAGGAAAATAGTTAAATCATGAAAACCAGGAAATTAAATCTTGAGAAGCGGAATAAAGGAGATTTAAATTCTGACTAGAACTGTCTTGAGTGTTCTAGAATTAGAGTTTTATTCTTCAATTTCTGCCAGAACTCAAGAACGTTATATTTAATCTAACCAATTATTTATCCGAGTTCTCTGGTTGGAAATACTAGGAACCATGTAGAGATTAGGAGCAACCATCATGGGTAATATTGCGTAAAGGTTTAAGGTCTACCTGGAGTTCTCTATTCTCTAATCTGAAGGTCTCCATTTGATTTATCTGTGAGTAAGGGTTTAAGGATTACCTGGAGTTCTCTATTCTCTATCTGGTTAAACATGTCAGTAAAGGTGTAAGGTCTACCTGGAGTACTCTATTCTATAATCTGAAAGTTTCCATCTGATTTATTTGTGAGTAAAGGGTTGAAGGACTACCTGGAGTTCTCTATTCTCTAATCTGAATGCTTTCACCTGGTTTATCTGTGAGAAAAGGTTTAAGATCTACCTGGAGTTCTGTATTCTCTAATCTGAAGGTTTCCATCTGGTTTATCTGTGAGTAAAGGTTTAATATATACCTGGAGTTCTCTATTCTCTAATCTGAATGTTTCCATCTGGTTTATCTATGAGTAAAGGGTTTAATATCTACCTGGAGTTCTCTATTCTCTAATCTGAAGGTTTCCATCTGGTTTATCTATGAGTAAAGGGTTTAATATCTACCTGGAGTTCTCTATTCTCTAATCTGAAGGTTTCCATCTGGTTTATCTGTGAGTAAAGGTTTGCACCCTGAGATCCTGATTCTACACAACCAAACTTATCTCCGTAAACAAACCCCTGGAATTAATAATAATAAACAAATGAAGAATTTTTTTTAGGTTTTTAAAATTTTAAGGTTTTTGGAGTCATAGAAGGTTCCACAAAATTCTCACAAGTTTATTTGGAATTGACTCTTTGCCACAAACTCTGATTTTTCTTTAAAATTCCTTTAAAATTGTTTGTTTCAAACATTTGTTATCTTTACGCAATGCCAAATTTAATGCTGTGACTGAAAAGATAAAATGACATCATAAAGCGAAAGTATTTACCTTATATTTTCCATATATTTTCCTTATATTTTCCTTATATTTTCCTTATATTTTTCTTATATTTTCCTTATATTTTCCTTATATTTTCCTTATATTTTCCTTATATTTTCCTTATATTTTCTCTAGGAAAATTTAGCATAGTTTCTTCAAACAAATTTTTTACAGAATGACATTTTAAAATGTTGGAACCAGCACATATTTTTTGGTGCTTGAAATTTTTGACGAATTATTATTTTGAATTTAATTTTAAGTTTCTTTGAAAAATTGTGAACAACTTCTTTAATTCTATTTCTATTTTCCCATTTTCCATTGTAACCATTTGGATATAATTAAAATTATTTTTATCCCGATATTCTTTGGAGAACAATAAAATCAATTTTGAAATTGGACGAAATAAGAGAAAGGGAGGAGGAGGAGGAGGGGGGTGGAGGGAGTGAGGAAAGGGGAAGCGGTGGGGGGAGTATTGGTTAGAGTCCTAGATCCACTTGAAGAGGATTACTTCAGTCTTTTGTCAATCCTGTATTTCCAAATATCTGGGTTCAATTCTAGTTCATTATTTATCAAAATTCTTTCATTATTGTTTAGATTTCTATGATCGGTCTCTCATACGGAAAGTTTGTCAAATGAAAATTTACTAACCGTAAATTAGAGTTGCAGTTTATTAAGTCAGTGAACCTTAACATTTGATCCCATTTTCACCCATTTAATGAAGATTTTTCGTATTTGCTATTTTATGCTTATAACTGTACATATTTTAAATAAAGTTGACGCTAATACGGACAGGAAGTAGTTAGTTTTACGTGAATAAACTTTAAGTGTAAGAGAAAGACAATTTTGTAGTTGAAATAAATCTTGAAGATCAAGTTTCTTAAAACCACCACTAGTGATAAATATGTTATGCAGTTCAGGTTGAAGTGTTGTATAAACTATAGTAATAATTCAAAACCTGAAATTTAGTAATCTCACCTCATGATACAGGGTTGAGAATCCAGGATCCTCCTTAACCAGCTGAACAGTAGCGTAGGGACAAACATCTCCATACAGATCATCAGTAGACTCAACACCTATTCGGGTCCGGGGGAAGTGTGGAGGGTTGGAGCAGGTCTTACTCTTGTGTGGATGATAACTAGGTTTAATACCTCCTCCTCCTTCTCTTCCTACTTCTCTCCCTCTTCCATCTAAAATTCAAATGATAACGATGATAATAATGATAATGATAATGATAATGATAATGATAATGATAATGATAATGATAATGATAATGATAATGATAATGATAATGATAATGATAATGATAATTATAATGATAATGATAAAGATAATGATAATGATAATGGTCATGATAATGATAATGATAATGTTAATGTTAATGCTAATGTTGATAATAATAATAATAATGATAATGATAATGATAATGATAACGATAATGATAATGATAATAATATAATAATGATAATGGCAATGATAATGATAATAAAATAATGATAATGTACTAAAATTTCCTAACAAAGCTGTTTGTGATACTAGAGGCAAAGTTTTGTGTGGTGCTGGGATGAGGGGGAGATGTGATGAGAGCTTACCTTGATTAAACTTGTTTTTGAATGTGAAGTAAGCCAGAAACCCTAATCCTAGAGAGAGAAAATTAGATTTTGAATTTCTAGCTAAACAAATATGATTTATATTTAATAGTTGAAGGTTTGAAGAATATTGTTTAATATTGTATCTCAACCTGTGAATACTCCGGGTACCCCCATCACTAGGAAGAAGATCAGAACAAGATTAGATCCTGAGGAACCAGTCTTAATTAAAATATTAGCATTAAGTCAAATTAGGTAATTTTTGACAGAATTATAAACTCACCTTGTAAACATTTAATGCTCGTCCATCCTCATCCAGGGTTGTGATCTCCTCCTCAACCTGAAACCAAATCTTGATCAACTATTCAACCTGAAACCAAATCTTGATCACCTAATTAACCTGAAACCAAATCTTGATCACCTAATTAACCTGAAACCAAATCTTGATCAACTATTCAACCTGAAACCAAATCTTGATCAACTATTCAACCTGAAACCAAACCTTGACCAAACCTTATTTTTTATTCAACCATGAAACCTTTTTCTTTTAAACTGAAATCAAACCTTCATTTAGTAGTTCAACCTAAAAATAAACCTTGATCTTCTTTTTTAACCTAAGACCATGAATATTTTTTCTTCTCAACCTGAATCCCAATCTTATTGGTCTATTTCATCCTGAAACCAACCCCTAACCTTTATTTTCAGTCTGCAACAAACCATGAATGCTCTCTTTTATTAAAAAGAATCTTATTTTTTTGTTCCATCAAAATCGAACTTAATCCGTTTAAACCATAACAAACCTCAACCTCTTATGCAAACCATCGCAACCTTAATCTTCTCCTAGACCAAGTATATCTAAGTACCTGGATATCTCCAGCTGAGTTTAGAGCTGCAACCCTTACAATATATCTGGTTGCAGGTTGCAGGCCCCGGATTAGATACTCCGTGATATCTCCGCTGAGAGTACTGGAAACTACTGTGAACACGCTGGAGTTTAATGACTTGAACTCGATTATAAACCTAAATTACATTTTATTTTTAAAATTTTTAAAAACGGCGAGTAAGGATCTTTAGAATCAAATGAAACTGAATTTTCAAAATTGAAATGTTAGGGTCTGGAGGATTTTGTATCATAAGTATATATCCTAAGTTCACTAAACGATCTCAAGGTTCAAATCTGGAGAGAAATAGTTGCAAAGGAAGACTTTTTATTTTTACCAAATTCCGCTCATGTTGGACATTTTAGGAGCTTTTTCAATTGTCATTTTAAGCTCAGCAAGTCACAACAGTAAACATGGACTCATTGGATAAGAAATTTTACCTAGAAATTGTTCTCAATCCTAAACAAGTCTATATACCGTTATTTCCTGTTTTTATGGATAACCCTGAGCATTAAAATCAATATTTTAAATTTTAAAATTGCTCTTGTGAAAATGTTGAACCTGTTAAGTTTACACTGTCGACTTGAGAACCGGTTTAGTAGAACCAGGATAGAGGTTCGGTTTGCCAGTAATATTGAACCTAATCTCTCAACACTAGGAGCTGAAATATCATCTAGTCATATATTATCAATTTTCACTAGTCAAAGTCAGGGTGTAAAGGGTTGATCTAAAAATAAAATTTAATGTTTTATTATGGAATATTAACAGATTCACGCTGGGTTGAAAATATTTTATGTTAAAAATTCAATTTTTACAAATCTTTAAATCATTATTTTTTACACAAAACAAAATTTGATCAAGCTTATCCTTTACCCAAACTAGAGAACAAAAAATGGCTTACGCAACGTTGAATTCTGATATTTGATAAGATACAATAGATTTTTAAACTTAAAAATTTTAAGTTGCAGAAAAAGAGGAATTTCAGTTTATTAGCTTTTGTATCTTTCTCAATTTTGCAAAGGAATTGTGTATGAAAACATTTCATGTCGGGCTAAAAAGATAATGAAATTTTTTAAATCTTGCCTGAATTCACGGTAACAAATTTTTAAGAATACATTGTTTTTATATCTTTAACTGCTAATTATCTCAAGAAATGGTCGAATTCATGCTTCTTTTACCCAAACTGTAGAACATGATCGACCAGGACCTATTAGAGTACTCAAGCTTTTGCCACAAACTCAAATATTATAATCCCTATATCTTTGCAACCCAATTAAGACCTTAAATATTTCATACTATTTCTGTGAGAACATATAATCTAAATTTGAAATATCAAAGGTTTAAATCATCAGGTTGCAAAGATATATGATTACTCCGTGAATTCAGGCAAGATATGAAAACCTGATTATCTTTTAGACTTGACATAAAATATTTTCAATTAACAACACTAAATACTTTTTTTAGATCTACCTCAGTAACCCTGAAGACTCTTCGTTTGACTAGAGTTTACTAACTGGGACTATGCCTATAATGCACGACAATACCCTTTAAACCTTTGTCTGAGTAACATGAAGAAAAATATCGTTGTTTTTGGAAATTATAATTTTAAATAGATATTTTTTTTTATTAATTTTAAAGTTTGCAAGGTATTGAAACTTTAAATATTAGATTTGGCCTATTTTTAAGATTTATTTTGAAACTGCAGGACCCTTATAACCTATATACACGATAGATAGGTTTCCTAAAATATTTTACCTCCGCCCAGAGTGTCAAAGCTGATAATTCGACTGGGTTGACTTTGCCCGATCCTGTTGACCGCTACCATAGCTGTCAGGTAGCTGGACCCACAGCTTAGGTTGGTCAAGGTATACTTGTTAGATATGGACGAAACACGCAGCTCAATCCAATCCTGGAAATTATCATTATCTTATTAAATATGAAAAAATAACTGTATGTTCATCATAAAAAACTAAAAAGTATAAAATAAAAAAGATAATATAAAAACCTACTAGATTCTGATGCCTGTAAGAGATGATATATCCTTGAATGGGAATAATGAGACCTTCGGGATTACTCCCAGATCCCTGGCTCCTCGTCCTTACTCCGGGTAGGTTCCACACCAGCTCAGCTGACTCCCCTGTGATATCTCTAACCTCAAGCCAAGGTTGAGGGGGAGGAGATTCAACCTCAACCTGATGTACAATCCTAAATACAGGAAAATATTAATTTGAAAACCAATATAATGTAATCCTAATAAATTTCTACCCCCCCCCCCTGCCGCGCCGGCCCAAATTATTTTGCGAATTGTGCCAAATTGAATTAGAATTAGAATTGCAAACGAGAGAAACTGTGCAATATCTGATTTTACCATATCTATTATATACATTATATGCAAGGGTATGTTATGAAGAATAAATTATGAATATATTATACAAATGTGATCGAATATATTAGATAAATTAAGCAGACACATATTAATCTAGATTTATAGAGAAAGACTAGGAAAGATTCGGTATGGATCTTTTTCCGCCTCTATTCTGCTTACCTGTCTACTCCGTCCCTGTTCTCCACCCCTATACTACTAGTGCTTACCTGTCTGCTCCGTCCCTGTTCTCCACCCCTATCCTACTAGTGCTTACCTGTCTACTCCATCCCTGTTCTCCACCCCTATCCTACTAGTGCTTACCTGTCTACTCCATCCCTGTTCTCCACCTCTATCCTACTTGTGCTTACCTGCCTACTCCATCCCTGTTCTCCACCTCTGTCCTACTAGTGCTTACCTGTCTACTCTATCCCTGCTCTCCACCTCTATCCTACTAGTGCTTACCTGCCTACTCCGTCCCTGTTCTCCACCTCTATCCTACTAGTGTTTACCTGTCTACTCCGTCCCTGTTCTCCACCCTTATCCTACTAGTGCTTACCTGTCTGCTCCGTCCCTGTTCTCCACCTCTATCCTACTAGTGCTTACCTGTCTACTCCATCCCTGTTCTCCACCTCTATCCTACTAGTGCTTACCTGTATACTCCATCCCTGCTCTCCACCTCTATCCTACTAGTGCTTACCTGTCTGCTCCGTCCCTGTTCTCTACCTCTATCCTACTAGTGCTTACCTGTCTGCTCCGTCCCTGTTCTCCACCTCACATTGATATTCTCCTTCGTCATGCTGGGTTAGGTTGGTCAGGAGAAGAGAGTTATTTGTAAGAACAGTTACTCTTCCCTCACCTTTAATATGATGTGTAATCGATCTAATTTAACTATACTTTTTAGGATTGATAAAAGATTGGTTTGAATCAAACCAAATTATTATTCTTGATTCAAAAAAGATCTTATTGACTGTAATTTAAATATTTCAATTATTTAACCCAATTTCTCTTCAGATAAAAAGCCTAAGTAAATCATCTGGATAGCATTGAAGATGAAAGAACTTAAATTTTCTTTAGTTAGCTAGATTAAAGAACTATTTCTAGTGTTTTTATTCAATTAAACCAACAAAGTGCTAAGATAATTTTATCTCATTGGAAACCTCGTTGTACCTGGATAAATCTGATTCCCGTTATGTCTCCAGTAGGTTGATATATGCTGGAACCCTACCGAGAAACAATCCAGGAGAAGAGAAGTTTGAAACTTGACCCTCCAGCTTTGGCCGAAGGAAACTATCTGGGCGTTTCCTATAAAATTCTTCAATTTTCAAAGGTATACAAAAAAATTGTTAGAACTCATAAATGCAGTTAATTAAAAAGAAAATTAACTTTCCCTGCAGATCATTAAAGGGACTGTATAATTATATACATGGTAAAACGTCTAGATCTGTTTCTTTAATTTTGAATTGACTAGACCTCAAAATTTAAACTTGTATTCTACTTCGAAAGCTTATTTAAAAATAAGAGGTGTTTTTAATTTTTATTAAAGTGCTTTGTGGTAGATTTAAGAAAAAAAAAATTTGAATTGAATCAAATGTTCAAACATTTCAGTATAATGATATTGTTTCTGTTGTTATTTCTGTATTTTTATTTGAAATTTGACTTGCATTTTTATTCTTTATAAAAATGCAGAATTTTAGAAATAAAATAGCATTTTAGATTTAAAGGAAATCTGCAAAAACAGCATATTTTTGTTTGTCAAATAATTGCTTATTTGTACCGTAAAGATAAACTAGTTAACTAGTAGAATAATATAAATCAACTAGTAGATCCATATAAATAAAATAGTATAGATCCATTAAGATCAACTAATAGATTCATAAAAATCAACTAGTTGATGCATAAAGATCAACTAGTCGATCCATGAAGATCAGCTAGTAGATCCATATAGATCAACTAGCAGATCCATAAAGATCAACCAGTAGATCCATGAAGATCAACTAGTAGATTCATAAAGATCAACTAGTAGATCCATAAAGATGAACTAATAGATCCATAATGATGAACTAGTAGATCCATAAAGATCAACTAGTAAATCCATAATGATGAACTAGTAAATCAATAATGATGAACTAGTAAATCCATAAAGATCAACTAGTAGATGCATAAAGATCAACTAGTAGATCCATAAAGATCAACTAGTAGACCCATAAAGATCAACTAGTAGATCCATAAAGATCAACTGGTAGATCCATAAAGATCAATTATAGATCCATAAAAATCAACTAGTAGATCCATAAAGATCGACTGGTAAATCCATAAAGATCAACTGGTAGATCCATAAAGATTAACTAGTAGATCCATAAAGATCAACTAGTAGACCCCTAAAGATAAACTAGTAGATCCATAAAGATCAACTAGTAGACCCATAAAGATCAACTAGTAGATTCATAAAAATCAACTGGTAGATCCATAAAGATGAATTATAGATCCATAAAAATCAAGTAGTAGATCCATAAATATAAACTAGTAGATCCATAAATATAAACTAGTAGATCCATAAAGATCAACTGGTAGATCCATAAACATCAACTAGTAGATCCATAAAGATCAACTAGTAGACCCCTAAAGATAAACTAGTAGATCCATAAAGATCAACTAGTAGATCCATAAAGATCAACTATAGATCTGTTTACAATGTCTACATACACAAAATAAAAGTTTGATATAAATTCAATAAAATTTTAAATCTATTTTTACAAAATCTAAGAAATATATTTTAGATTTTCCCTAGAGTAAATATTCTGAAAATATGAAAAGTTTTATGGAAAAACACACGCAAATTCTTTATATTTACATAGTGCTGTAATGCATAAATTGTATCTATAAATATTGTAAAGAATTGTGAATACATTGTAAGATAAATCTTTTATAATATTATTTCATGATGGAAATCCAATACATCGTAATACCCCCCCCTCCCCCTCCTCCCTACCGCATTTCCCTTTACAAATAGATACTGAAAAAGATAAAATATATATTGACAGATCTTTGAATAAAAATAGAAATTATCTTGCCAATATTTGCTACCCTGAAATCTGAAAAACTTAGAGTGTAGAGTGTAGAATGTAGAGTGTAAAGTGTAGAGTGTAGTGTGTAGAGTGTAGAGTGTAGAGTGTAGAGTGTAGAGTATAGAGTGTAGAGTGTAGAGTGTAGAGTGTAGAGTGTAGAGTGTAGAGTGTATGCAGGAAGACAAAATAACTTCAAGGGAATTACGAACATATCTTTGATTTTCCAACTGAAAATTTATTATTTTCAGTTTCACAGTTTCTCTATAAGAGGAATTGAGTCTTTGTCACAAACTCTTACTTTCGACTCCCTATTTCTTTGCAAAATGTTAGTGTAAGTAAACCTTTAATATTTCAAATTAAGATTATTTGAACCAAAAGACTACAATTTTAAATATTTAGGATCTACAACATTGGGTTGCAAAGTTACAGGAAGCAGAAATCAAAGTTTATGTTAAGGACACAATTCCTTTATTTGAGGATTTTAGAAACGAAGAATGAAATCATCAGAATTGAACACTTGACAATTATCAATTGAGATTTTCCAATAACAGTAATTTATGCAAAAAGACAAGGAAGAAAACCAATACAATTTATCCCTTTTCTAGATGGAAAAACAATTATATCTTCCTCCTTCTTGCACTTGCCACTAAGGGTCTCTTTAAAAAACCGTATACAGTCCCCCTAAAGCTTATATGGTAAATCTGAAATGCATTTATGCATTTATGTTTCTATGCTATGACCTATTGAGATGAAAAGAGCACCAATATTTAAGCTCAACACTTTTCATGATTCATGATTTGTCTACTTCCCGATACACTTAAAATCATGATTTGTCTAGTTCCCGATACACTTCAAATCATGATTTGTCTAGTTCCCGATACACTTTAAATCTGACTTAAAAGCTAAAGAAGAAAAGTTTTATGATGCATTTCTCAAAATCAGATTGAGTAAAACAGATTCCGTACAACAGATTGAGTAAGACAGATTCCGTATAACAGATTGAGTAAAACGGATTCCGTACAACAGATTGAGTCAAACAAATTCCGTAAAACAGATTGAGTAAACCAGATTCCGTACAACAGACTGACAAAAACAAATTCCGTAAAACAGATTGAGTAAAACAGATTCCGTACAACAGATTGATTAAAACAGATTCCATGAAACAGATTGAGTAAAACAGATTCCGTAAAATTTTTAAATATTTCTATAATTTTCTATGTTTTTGTTACATTTCATGAATAAATAATTACTTATTTACTTTCTATATAGTACAGAAAAGGATATTTAATAAAAAATGTTTCTGATTTTTGCCTATAATACAAAAACATAATTTCTTTAAGGGAACTAAATACTTTTCAATTAGAGTTTGAATTCAGGATCAGAAGAATTCAGAATAATGTATCTGAAAACTTTAGAATGGGATATCCTTAATCCCGATCGGTTAATTAATCTGGATATTAATAACAAGAGGAAAACAAGCGTTATTTAATCTGGAGATTAAGAAAAAGATGAGATCAAGCATTAATCCCGATATCCACCATTCAAAAGTTCCCAGCTCAAGCTCAGTTAAATTATATAATGACAAGAGGTTTGGTTTCAGGATAAAATATTATTTTATCTTGTTCAGTTAATTTTTGAAATATCAGAGGACTGCCCCCGGCGCCCCAGCGGAGATGTACGGGTTTAAATCCTGATTTTGAAGCAAGTTTTCAGTTCCTTTAGTCCCAGTTCTTTAGTTTAACCTGTATTCTGTGCCAGGATGGTTTCTATAGGAGAAGAGGGTCCTTGGCCTATCCTAGTCTCTGCTCGGACCCAGAAATCAAACCAAGTGTTGGATTGGAGAGGACCCAACCTTACAAAGGTTTCCTTGGTTTTCAGGGTTTGTATCTCAGCTCCTTGAGCCTGTATTCTCCAGTATACAGTGTACCTGGAGAAATTTGCATCATTATTCATCCTGCAGTAGGGTTCTATATTAATCTATCTTCAGATCTTTACTATATTCAAAAATGTTTCTCCCTTCACCCCAACTTTTCAAAAATTTCAGTTTATAAAATCTAATTGAATTGAATCAAACAAAACTCTAATGGTTTCATATTCTATTAGAATATCAATCCCTCCAAAACGATAACTTGAAATGGCAAATAGAACAGTATCAAAATTTTAAAAATTACCTTCTAATATATCCACAGGGGTGTGCTGGAGGAAGCCAAGAAACATAGAAACTTGAATCTCCGTTAGAGAGAACCTTAACTCTAGCAGGAGAACCAGGAACTAGGACAGGATAAAGTTAGAGAGAACCTTAACTCTAGCAGGAGAACCAGGAACTAGGACAGGATAAAGTTAGAGAGAACCTTAACTCTAGCAGGAGAACCAGGAACTAGGACAGGATAAAGATAGAGAAAACCTTAATTCTAGTATGAGAACCAGGAACTAAGACAGGATATAGTTAGAGAGAACCTTAACTCTAACAGGAGAACCAGGAACTAAGACAGGATATAGTTCGAGAGAACCTTAACTCTAGCAGGAGAACCAGGAACTAGGACAGAATATAATTAGAGAGAACCTTAACTCTAGCAGGAGAACCAGGAACTAAGACAGGAAATAGTTAGAGAGAACCTTAACTCTAGCAGGAGAACCAGGAACTACGGAATGATAGAGAGAATCCTTAATCTAGCAAAAAAACTAAGAAAAAACAATAAGAAAAAATCTGAACTCTAGTATCGTGGAGAACCAGAAACCGAAAACAACTATTAAATTAACCAATCAGAGCTAGGTAAGTTCGACTGGAAGAGAGGATTTCGTCGATTAAAAAAGGACATTCTCTCCTTGTGTATACAGTTTAACCAATCACTCAATGGTCAAAACATCAGATGCTTGAACAATGAGAGATACTGCAAGGAAGGAATGACTTTAACATATTAGAATCGGTTAAAATCAGTTTCTGTTTTAAAGAGGAGGACAGATATAAGAATATCTCGTACTACCTATTATTCATATTTTATTCTCTTCTATAAATCCTAGAGATTTAAACTCAGCCATAAAAGTTAGACTTGAGAGTAGAGACAAGGGGGATAAATTCTAATTCCTTCTTGGCAATTATTTTTATTACGTTACATACTCTTCTAGACAAATAGAAATATTAGAAATGTTGTTGAAAATGGATATACACTTGTTTATTTGGGAAGATCTTAAAACACCTCTCTTTTACTCAACCCTTCTCTCTTGCACCCAACCCTTCTCTCTTGTACCCAACTCTTCTCTCTAGAACCCAACCCTTCTCTCTTGTACCCAACCCTTCTCTCTTAAACCCAACCCTTCTCTTTGTACCAATCCCTTCTCTTCTAAATCTAACCCTTCTTTCTTGTATCCTACCTTTCTCTCTTGAACCCACCTCTTCTCTCTTGTACCAAACCCTTCTCTCTTGCACCCAACCCTTATCTCTTTATCTAACCATTCTCTCTTGTATCCAACCCTTCTCTCTGTAACTAACCCTTCTCTCTTGTACTCAACCATTGTTCTCTCCTGTACCCAACCCTTCTCCTTGTATCCAACCCTTCTCTCTTGTACCCAACCCTTCTCCCTTGCACCCAACCCTTCTCTCTTGTAGATAACCCAATACCAAACTCCTATATTCTAACTGGCTTGCGACTCTATGTTTATTTACACATTTACAACAAACTGTGTAAATAAATATAGATATATATATAAATATATAAAACTAACTAACTTTATCAAACTTTTTCTTAAGTAAATACAATAAACACGGATGGAAGCATTTTTAGAAATTTTTACAACGATATACATTGTGGCCCAACAGGGATTAGCGTTTTTAATCCCCAATAATCTTTTTAAATGACTCAACAATATATATTTTTTAATTTAGAAGGGGTCGTTTAAGTAATATTTTGTAGTTTGATGCTTCCTCTTGGCGTAATACTATGTCAAATGTTCGAAAACCTCGCTGTTTACTTAGTTAATAGTTGCTATAATTATATTGCAGAGTAAAAAAATATGCTGAGTAATTGTACTTGATAATATTTAATTAGATTACATTGATGTTTATATTTTTAATTATTTCTTAAAGATGCCCCACTTTAATGTCACACAAAAAAAAACGCCTAGTTCCAAGATCCATCAAAGCTGTTGACAACCATGGGACCGGGATTACTGCAAGCTCTCTTTGGAGGTATCTCTTCATAGAGTTCTAGGTTTAAAACTACCTATATACCCAGAAGAAAATTCTAAGGGGTTCAGGCTTTCAGATATTCGACATAGTTTTACGTCAAATAGAAGGATCGGACGACCCCCTCAAAAAATTAAAACTGTACTGAGAAGTACATTTTCGAGACTTTTTCAACGATTAAAAGGGTTGAAAACCCCTAATCCATGTTTCATTTGGGCCGCCCTGAATAAAAATAAAAGATATCTCTTCCTCCCTTTATTACACACAAAACTTATGTTTTATCATCTTTCTGTTGCTGACATTAATAAAACCTTTGTTTTATTTCGTGTCATGTCACGTGATAAAACTGAGTTCTTTCGGACTAAATTGTTTCAATGAAATTAACGGACTAAAGGAAGTACATTTACAAGAAAAAGCAATGATAATATTTCCACATTCAGAAACAAATAAGATAAAAAGTAATTGTGTTAATAATAATACTAATAATAATTATGCGTCTGATAATAAAAATAATAATTGCTACTTTTGATTGTCAGAAAGCAGAAACAAAAAAAAATATGTCTTTTCCACAAACTCTGTTCTCCCAATCCCTATAACTTTTCAACCCATTGTCGTAAACCTTTGATATTTCAAACTATGAATTATGTTAGATCAAATAATCTAAGTTTGAAATGTCAAAAGTTTACACTATAGAGATTGCATAGATTAGACAATTTGACTTAATTTCTCTACTGTGAAAAAGTGGGAAGAATTAAATATACTTTGTTCTTACCATCTTCCATAGTAGTGCAGGTGATTGGTAAACTCAGAGGTCCGCCGCCAACCTTAAAGGGAATGTGTACGTTATTCTAATTGAGGTCCTTGAGATTAATTGTGGCATCAAAAGTTCAGAACACCAACACCCTTTATGCAAATTTCTTTAAATACGTAAAACATTAGAAGGTTTACGTCAGGTTTTATATTTTACTTAGGAAAGAAATTTTCTTGCTTGACTTTCCTACAGCAAATTATTAGTCTTGTGAATTGTTAATGACACTCTGCAGTTAACAAAGGTGGGCTTTAATTTCAGTTAACAGTCCCTTAACTACACATTTTATTTAAAGAAATAGAGTCTTTCCCACGTAATCAAATTTTCTAATCCCTATATCTTTGCATACTGATGGTTTAACCTTCTATATTTCAAACTTAGGTTAGTCGAACTAAAATTATTCATTGTTTGAAATATCTAAGGTCTACAACATTGTATTGGACAAATAGAGAGTTTAGAAAATCAGAGTTTGTGGCAATTGTTCAATTCCTTTGCTTTTTATTTTATTTCATACCTTAGTATGCGCCCTAACATACAAGGAATAGTTTGTGAACATATAAAGGTCTTCTAATCTTAGCTCCAGTTTCTCCAGTTCTCCAGTTCTTATATCATCTAGAGCAATAGGTTCAATATTATCCAGTTTCTCTAGCTCTCCAATTCTTATATCATCTAGAGCAATAGGTTCAATATTATCCAGTTTCTCTAGTTCTCCAGTTCTTATATCATCTAGAATTATAGGTTCAATGTTATCCAGGTTCTCTAGTTCTCCAGTTCTTATATTATTTAGAACAATAGGTTCAATTATATCCAGGTTCTCTAATTCTCCAGTTATTATATCATCTAGAACAATAGGTTCAATATTATCCAGTTTCGATAGTTCTCCAGTTCTTATATCATCTAGAGAAATAGGTTCAATATTATCCAGGTTCTCTAGTTCTCCTGTTCTTATATTATCTAGAACAATAGGTTAAATATTATGCAGGTTCTCTAGTTCTCCAGTTCTGATATCATCTAGAACAATTGGTTCACAAGGTTTAATATTGCCCAGGATCTATGATTCTTTAGGTTCTCCTATCTAAATAAGGTTTAATATTGTCCAGGTTCTAATGTTTTCCAGGTTCTCCTATCTAAATAAGGTTTAATATTGCCCAGGTTTTATGGTTCACAGGTCGTATCTACATAAGGTTTAATATTGCCCAGGTGCCATGGTTTTCAGGTCGTATCTACATATATATAAGGTTTAATATTGCCCAGGTGCCATGGTTCTCAGGTCGTATCTACATATATATAAGGTTTAATATTGTCCAAACTTGAGTGTTCTTCAGGTTTCAAGATAAGATTTTAAATTGCAAAGTTTCTCCGTCTTTGTCTCCTTGTTTGAGCAGACGATTATGAAGCATGATCAGTTCTCAGATTTTTGGCAGAAAATTAAACAAGATTTGTCAAAATACCATTCTGGGTTTAGAAATGCATAATTTGCAGCTTTGTAACCAATTAAAGCATGTGGGAATCAAACAAAAATGTTTTGTAAAAATAAGAAAGAGAAAAGGATTTTAAATCTTGGCTTACTCTGCCCTGATATCTAATATCTACAGGATTGTATGCTTTAAATTATGATTAGAGAAAGAACAGTATAACTGGATATTTAACCAGAAAAATGGGATTAATTTCATTGGATAAAATTGAAGAGCAGATGGAATAATTTTAAAAACAGGAGGAGCAGATGGAATAATTTTAAAAACAGAAGGAGCAGATGGAATAATTTTAAAAACAGGAGGAGCATATGGAATAATTTTAAGAACAGAAGGAGCAGATGAAATAAGTTGCAAAAACAGGAGCAGATGAATAATATGATAAATAGAAGGAGCCCGTGGAATAATTTGATAAAGAGGAGAAGCCCATAAAATAATTTGATAAAGAGAAGAATCCCGTGGAATAATTTGAAATAAAGTAGGGAACGTTTTGTCCCTAAACTCTAGTGTTTTGATCTCATCCTACTGCAGTACACAGATTTGACGCATCGGATTCGGATGTTTTTCCGGTATTATGTATATGAGATGAGGTGTGTGCAAACAGTAGGTAGATCTGCACAGTATAAACTTTATAATCAATAAAATAAATAAAAAGTGTATAAAACCAATTGGATATTGTGAAGTGTAGAAAGAGACCGGATGAAAGATAGTCCCAGAGAAAGATAGTAACGGAGAAAGATAGTCCCGTAGAAAGATAGTCCCGGAGAAAGATAGTCCCGGAGAAAGATAGCCTCAGAAAAAGATATCCCCGGAGAAAGATGGTCCATGAGAGAGATAGTTCCGGAGAAAGATAGTCCTAGAGAGAGATGGGAAAGAAAGTCCCGGAGAAAGATAGTCCCAAAGAAAGATAGTCCCGGAGAAAGATCATCCCGGAATAAGATAGTCCCGGAAAAAGATAGTCCCGGAGAAAGATAATTCCAGAGAAAAAGAGACCCAGAGAGAGATAATTCAGGAGAAAATAGTCCTGGACAAAGATAGTCCCGAACAAAGATAGTCCCGGAGAGAGATAGTCCCGGAGAAATATAGTCCTGGTGAAAGATAGTCCCGGAGAAAGATAATCAGGGAGAGAGATAGTCCCGAGTCCCGGAGAAAGATAATCAGGGAGAGAGATAGTCCCGAGTCCCGGAGAAAGATAATCCCGGAGAGAAATAGTCCCGGAGAGAAATAGTCTCGGAGAAAGATAGCCTCGGAGAAAGATAGTCCTTGAGAGAGAAAGCCCTGGAGAAAGATAATCCAGGAGAAAAGATAGTCCCGGAGAAAGATATTCACGGAGAGAGATAGTTCCGAAGAATGCCAGAGAGAGAGGATGAGGATTCTAACTATTTATTGAGTCTGAGACTGGTTTGTAAAGATAACGATATAAATTCTGAAAAGCAATACAGGATAAGTGAGTCTGAGATGCGATCTCTTTAAAAGAGAAGAATAAGGATGATATTGATAATAATCTACAGGGTTACCCGCAAAAGATGACATTTCAGATACGACATTTAAAACAGAAAAAAATCAACGTTCAGGACGATGTATTTAAAAAATTCAGGTTGTCGTCATTTCCGGTTAACTTTGTAGTATATCAAACTTTTTTGAGGGATTGCTCGGATTATGATCTCCAGGTACACCTTAAAGTAGGAAGATCCCAGGAGAAGATCAAAGATCGGGAACTTTTAGGTTCACATCGCACATTTTGAGGACTTCCCGTTGGAACTGAAATAAACAAAATTATTTCAATATTCCCTAAAATAATTTTACATTAGTTGAGATTTCTCTATAAAATGAGTTTTACAGGAAAGACACGGTATTCATAAACCATATTTTTGCTGTCCCTTTAAAACCCAGTTCCTTGCCTTGATAATTCGGGGTTAATCGATGACCGTATTTGGATAAAACCTTGAGTGCCACATTTTACCCTTTCAAAGGAATTGAGTCTTTGTCACAAACTCTGATTTTCTAATCCCTATATCTTTGGAACCCAATGTCGTAAAACTTTGATTTTTCAAAATTATATTATTTGATGTAACAAAAGTCATAGTTTTAAATGTCAAAGGTCTACGACATTAGAAAATCAGAGTTTGTGAAAAAGACTCAATTCCAACAGGAGTACAGGAGTACAGGAGTACAGGAGTACAGGAGTACAGGAGTACAGGAGTACAGGAGTGCAGGAGTACAGGAGTGCAGGAGTACAGGAGTACAGGAGTACAGGAGTACAGGAGTACAGGAGTACAGGAGTACAGGAGTACAGGAGTACAGGAGTACAGGAGTACAGGAGTACAGGTGTACTGGAGTACTGGAGTACAGTAGTACTGGAGTACAGGAGTAAAGGTGTACATGAGTACAGGAGTACAGGAGTACAGAAGTACAGGAGTACAGGAGTACAGGAGTACAGGTGTACAGGTGTACAGGAGTACAGGAGTACAGGTGTACAGGAGTACAGGTGTACATGAGTACAGGAGTACAGGGGTACAGGAATACAGGTGTACTGGAGTACTGGAGTACAGGAGTACAGGAGTAAAGGTGTACAAGAAGAAAGCTTCTATGTTGTTTTATAAATCTAAACTGACTAAATTTACTCATCTTCTATGGAAAATAAAGCATTTTATATCTGTTCTCAATAATACATTATGGATTAATTGAAGTAAAAAATTTTTTTAAATATTTACAAATAAAAGCAAATTAGTTTTGGTCGAAAAGCTACTCCCCCCCCCCTCTCCACTTGACGTATACACTGTTGAGGTTAAAAGCAAATATAAAAATGTCTCTGTTAAAGGAATTTAAATCAAATCATAATGTTAAATTCACCCACCACTCTATAAATTGTAAATATCATAGATAAAGATAGATTGCGCATAAGACGACATTTTTCATCTTGAAAGATATAAATGTACAGAGATGTTTTAAAGATATTCCTATTATATAGATTAACTAGGTCGGTTGTGAACATTGGCTGTTCTTATGTCATTGAAGTTAGTTTAGTCCTTCTCATGTCCTTCTTCAGTTCTCGTCAATATGATACATTGCTCAGTGATATCCTCAAAATAAAATTCACTCCTGAGTGGTTTAATAGTTATGAAATCCATTAAAACACCAAACCACCCCGGTTATAATTGAAGTACACTTTGACCCCTAGAAGTACGAGTTCGCGGACTGTACAATTCTTGGTGATTTTGCGTACATAAGCTATCTATGTTTATTTATTTATCTATGGTAAATATTCATTAATTGAGTCTTTGGCACAACCCCTGATATTTAATTCCTATATCTTTGCCAACAAAATGTGATAGACCTTATATTTCAAACTATGAGTTCTATTAGATCAAATCATTTAAGTATTAAATATCAAAGGTTTACACCTGCAGGTTGCAGAAAATTGAGATTAGAAAATTTGAGTTTGTGACAAAGATTCGATTTCTTTCGTACCATTGGGATAACTAGTCCATCTTGCCAAGAGCTACGATAGAATAGAAGTTAAAGTCAAAGTTAAAGTCAAAAGTTAAATTTTCAAAAACTTCTTGAAATTTTTGTTTTGTTTTTAGGGAAAGAACTTTTACAAAACAAATTCAGGTTGGACATTCCATGATTAAAGGGGGGGGGGAGGTATGCAATATGCATTGTCTGTGAACGAAGAGGACGGTTAAAGCATTATTTACATTAGTAAAGATGTTTAGTTTAGTACAAGCTACAATTCAAACAATGCTTTTAAATGAAAAGAATATCCAAATTTATTCATTTTGACCATTCTCACCATGAAACACAAAACAAATGCATTTAAGAGGAGTATTGTGACAAAAAACAGTCCCCCCCCATGACCCCCTAAAATATCCCACACTAGCCTCCTTCCCCCCATTAGCTGCATCTAAAGATAATACTGAATCTGATCATGAACCTAAATTACACAGTGAAATTTAAAAAAATTTAATTTGAAAAAAATAGATTTTGGGAAAAAAACTTTGATTAAAAAAATGATTTTCGAAGAAAAAAAATCGAATTTCTTTAATCTATGTTACCCCTGGGTTACCTAAAACTGTTCAGCCAATTTGGTCCAACCGTTTGGCCAGCAATAGCTAACATATATTATGTATATACAAATATACAAATATATATAAATGAGCAAAGAGCTTTATTATAGAGAGATAAAACCTACCATCTTCAAGAGTAGTTGCTAGGTATGGAACAGATAAAACATACCATCTTCATGAGTAGTTGCTAGGTATGGAACAGGTAAAACATACCATCTTCAAGAGTAGTTGCTAGGTATGGAACAGATAAAACCTACCATCTTCAAGAGTAGTTGCTAGGTATGGAACATATAAAACCTACCATCTTTAAGAGTAGTTGCTAGGTATGGAACAGATAAAACATACCATCTTCAAGAGTAGTTGCTATAGGTATGGAACAGATAAAACCTACCATCTTCGAGAGTAGTCGCTAGGTATGGAACAGATAAAACCTACCATCTTCAAGGGTAGTTGCTAGGTATGGAACAAATAAAACCTATCATCTTCAAGAGTAGTTGCTAGGTATGGAACAGATAAAACCTACCATCTTCAAGAGTAGTTGCTAGGTATGGAACAGATAAAACCTACCATCTTCAAGAGTAGTTGCTAGGTATGGAACAGATTTCTCTCCTCGTCCAACTAAATTCCAGGTTTCGATCAAAACCTCGTAGGTTCGGTATTTTTCTAAAATATTTAAAATAAATGTTTTATTTCTGGTTCAAACCAACACAAGTTGTTTATGCGTGGGATAAGATTAAAAGCTAAAAGATATGTTTATTAAAAGTTTAAAACTTTTTGGGAATAGTTTTGAAGAAGGTTAGAGTAAAAGAACGAAGAGTTTTGGAGGAATAGGATCTTAAAAAGTATAGTAACCCTTTTTAAATTAAGCCTAAATTTTTCTAAACTTAAAAGAGTTCTGGACAATCAAACCTAACTTCAAATCTATATCAAAACCAGTCTTTTAGGGCGCTTCGCGTCCATCTTCTATTTCAACTTTTAATTGTGGCTTTATCTGTGAGCGTCTTTTCTTTGTACAGTATAAAAAAAAGAAGTTTGCGGATTTTTAAACCTGCCCTGAGCCCGCGATTTAAAAGCTTCGGCTCGAGTCTTAATTCCTTAAACGCAGCTTTAAGACCCAATCTTAGACCCAACTCTGACGACAGCTTGTGGAGCTTGTGTCACGTGATTGACAGCTGCGAGATCTAAGGCTCGACTTAAGGAGTTAAGCCCAATGAAAATAAAACCGACCTTGGTTGGTTTTAGTGAAGAATAAGGCTCAATGTTGGGTCTTATTCTCATCAAAACCCGGAATGCACCAATTCCAACTATAAAAATCCGCCAAATACAACATTAAACCGGTTTTATGAACTAAATTCTGTTGAAAAATAGATGCAACTTAAATTCGAAAGCCCGAGCCGTAAATAAGGCTCAACAACAGCTTAGACCCGAGTCGTATTTTCTTGAATTTTTTAAATCGCCGGCTATGGGGTCACAAAATTTGGGCCTGATCGGTTCAGCCGTTTTGACGTTTATTGGATACAAACAAACAGACAGACACCAAAGCTAGATTTATATATAGATGTGACACCAATTGAAGTAAGATATTTTACAAAAGCATGTAACCCCTTCTATAACCTTTTAAAACTTATAAAACTTGAGTTTTTAACTCTTAAATCAAATGAATTTCATGTTGGTAGACACTATACAGGGTTACCCATAAAGTAGGAGACATTAATGACGACCTGAAACTCCGAATATATGTAGATTTTAAGTTTGAACTAGGGTTTTTGCCCTTATAGCCTTGAAATAAAATATTTTAAAATATTTCAAAGAAATGAACAATTATGCAGCTGCAGGGACCTATATATGTGGGAAATAATAGTAAACAATTCCCTCACAGTCATCTCAGAAGTCTCATCCCTAGTGGGTAACTCTGTAATATAGGTTGGTTTAGCTACAACTAAACCTCTAAACTTTAATACGATAATTTATGGTAAAAATAGCATGTTTTTGTATTATAGGTTGGTTTAGCTACAACTAAACCTCTAAACTTTAAGACATTAATTTATTGTAAAAATAGCATGTTTCTGTATTATAGGTTGGTTTAGCTACAACTAAACCTCTAAACTTTAAGACAATAATTTATTGTAAAAATAGCATGTTTCTGACACTGGCATTATTTAACAATATTCTCTGTTTGATGTATTTGTTTACTTTAACATTTATGCAAAACAAATTTATATTTGATTTTTGAAGTTTGTGTCGATTAATAAAATGGAATTTTTTAATCAAAATATTTTCTTTGTAATTTTTATTTTTACCTAGAGATTCCAGAAGGATAGAGAACTGAGTGTCACTGCTCACTGGTAAATTCATTAGCTCATAATCAGCTCTGGACTCTTGTAACCTTGAAATGAATATAATAGCTCATAATCAGCTCTTGACTCTTGTAACCTTGAAATGAATATATATATATATAGCTCATAATCAGCTCTTGACTCTTGTAACCTTTAAATGAATATATATATATATAGCTCATAATCAGCTCTTGACTCTTGTAACCTTTAAATGAATATATATATATATATAGCTCATAATCAGCTCTTGACTCTTGTAACCTTTGAATGAATATATATATAGCTCATAATCAGCTTTTGACTCTTGTAACCTTTAAATGAATATACTAGCTTATACTTAGCTCTTGACTCTTGGAACATTTAAATGAATGTATTAAGATGATAATCAGCCATTGATTCTTGTATCCTTTAAAACAGTATACTAGCTGATAATCAGCACTTGAATCTTTTAATCTTGTAGAGAATATATCAGCTTAAAAACAGCTCTGAAATCTTGTAATCTCAATATATAAGCTGATAAACAGCTCTTAACTCTTTGTAACCTAAAAGTGGATATATTAGCTGATAATAAACTCTGGACTCAAAACAATAAATGTTGCTAGAAGACGACATTTTTTATCTTGAGCTGACCTGTATGATATGGTGTATCCCAGCTGTTGAGAGTTCCAGAGTGATTGTGGAGGAGATTCCCAGACTAGTTTTAGAGAACTGGAACTCCGGGCAGTCAAGGAGATTATTCGAACCCGTCCTGTCGGAGCTAAATATTTGGATTTCAGGCTGTACTTGAATAAAAGGTTGGAAAGGAACTCCTTTGATATTATAAACTTTGACTATTTTATCTAGCAGAATTCATAGAGCTTGAAATATTAAAAGTCTTAAACATCAGGTTGCAAAGATTCGAAAATTCGAGTTTGGACAAGTAATCAGTTTCTTTAAAGAATAATGAGAAATTATCGATGAAATATGAATTTAAATAGATTTAGAAATAAAATTCTAAATGTCTTCTCACCTTCCTCCAGAGTTGTAAAACTAACAGGTTTACTTGAATTGCTGGGTCCGATAGCATTATGAGCTCTGTACAAAAACAACAACAAAAATATAAAATATAAAAGATAATCATTAGCTAATAATTTTTTAACTTTTCTAGATTAATTCAAAGGTTAAACCCTCTGCTCTGTGCTGTGCAACCTACTAACTAACTAACTAACTTAACTGCATATTCTCGCTTAGGTCACTTTAAGTAGATCTGAGCTGAAAACTTTAGAATAGTGGATATCGAGATTAATGCTTGATCCTCTCTTTTTCTTAATATCGAGACTAAGGTAATCTTGTACTTGTATCCTGAAAAGTGTATAAAATTCAACCAATCACAACCCGAAAAATTTTAAATTTTGCACGCCATTTAAGATTAATATACAGAAACAGGAGAAACTCTCTAATTTTAAAAACAGGTTTTTGATTTTTCACTACTATATCCAAGAAAGAACGGTTTAAGAAGAAAATCAAAAGTGTGTCCATTGGATACTCAGATTAAGTAATCAGGATTACAGATATCTCATTCTACAGTTTTCAGCTCTGGGCACATCAATATGTTTTTAACCCCTATATTAAAGGTAGGTTTGTTGAATTAGCGGAAAGGTCTATTTATTATTTAAATAATAACGATTTTTTCCGCTCGTTAACAGAATTTTCCATCAATTTAGAAAGACTTTCGTTAGGTAAAAAACGTTGAAAAAACTTCTCTTCTTCTACCATATCATGTATGGCTTTTGGTCTTAAATTTGAAAAAGAAATCTATTTGAGGCATTATTAACTATGTATAACACTGTTATTTTGGTGCGCAGTGGTATAAAGTTTTTGGACAAAAAATGTCTTTATACCTCGAAGGTTCAAGCCTTTTTAGATTTAATTTTGTCCCGAGGTTTAGCTAGGGACAAATATAATCTAAAAAGAGGAGAACCTTCGAGATATAGAGAAAATTTAAGCCCAAAAACTGTATAGCATGTCGTGCCAAAATAATAGTGTTACAGGTAATTTTATAAAACGCTTGTGCACTTGTCGTATTTCAATGTCTGTTTCTAGATCAAATAAGCTTTGAAACAAAGCAGAAGTCAAAAGTTTATTTTAAGTTAAAGTTCATTTCAATGGAAAAAACAATATTTTGGAAACGTCCTAAATTTTTTGAGAAAATCCGGGAACCAATCAAAAGTTAGCACACGTGCTATAATGTACACCAATTTTAACATAATAGCACGATGTTTACTTTATAGCACGTTTATAATGAAATTCGCCATGAAGTGAGTAATAATGATAAAATACACTATAGTTTCATAAAAGCACAAAATTGTTTGTTAGCTACTTTTTAATTAACGTTTCTTCCTGTAAGTTGTTAATTAACTTATAGGCGTCCAGAGTGCTTTGCAGCCTAACTTCGGTTTTAACGGTTTTAATTTTTGCTCTATCTGTGACATTTTCTCTTTTTAAATTATAAAACATTAACAAAATAAATTTTGCGGATTTTTTAGGGAAAGTTTATAATTCTGACCATCTATAAACCATCCGTGGGGTCATGTGAGGTTCCGTTAATTTCAAAAACTTCTGTTCGGTAAATGAACATTTTTTGCCCTAGTCTTATACTACCTTCCAATTATTGGGGTTTGTTCTTTAAAAATTTGGTTTAAGTCGGATTAAGCTAAAAATTAACAAATTTGTCCATTTAGTTATATCTTTATTAACGATTTTTAACTTAAATTTAACCATTCTTTCACCACGTTAACATATTTTCCGTTAATTTTCAAAAAGTTCTTTTTCGTTACTTGAACTTTGTTCAGCACTAGAATTAACTACTACTATCACCTGACAGTTAGAGAGTAGTCCTTTCCTGGGGTTAAAGATCTAAAAAGATATAATTCTATTTAAGAATAAAATCAATTATGTTTGTATTTTACAAAAAACTGCCCCCCCCTTCCCCTTCAAAAAGTAAAAATTTAATAATAACACATCTTTGCAGCTTTGATATTTCAAAATCAGACTTTTTGATCCAACATTATTTGTGAAATGTATGCAACATCAGGTTTCAGAGATATAAATGTTAGAAAATTAGAAATTGTCCCATGGAAAGAATAAATTTGATCAATTCTAATGTCTATTTGTCAAAAGACTATAAGTTTCTAAAAAAATTTAACTCTTCCAAGTTTTATATTTTCTTAAGTTTAGAAAAATTATCAATAATGTTTTCTTTTGTTGAAAACGATAAATATAAGATGTTTTGAAACTCTAAAGTGGTTTGTGTAAAACTAATACTTTACTAGATGGGCTGTGTTGTAAACTCGCTTAAAACTTTCTAAATTTGGGAATTTGACGCTGCATCAAGAAACACTAGATTGTGCAAAACATTTGCATTTCATAATGTCAAAATAATTATAATTCAAGTTTTGATTACATTTATAAAATAGAAATAAGAATGTTTTATATGTACGATATGTAAAAATAAATATGTTTACAATTACAATGTATTTTTACAAAAAAAGAAGAATCTAGAAAATCTAAAAATGAATATTTAAATTAATTATCAAAATTTGAACAAAAAGATAACTTAGTCCCTGTCAGACAACAGTTGAATATTTAAAGATAATATTCTTTAATTTGAAAATGAAATTCTTAATGAAGACGATCAATCATTAAATTAAAAATTAGCCTAGGCATTTATTGATACACGTTGCGCAAGTTACAACGAAGACCATGTTTACCTGATAATGAGACTTCTTGACTGCCCACTCACCGTGATTTCATTAACTGCTCCGGTTCCTAAAATAAATGAAAAAATATAGTAAAAACATCAGAATTTAAGCAAAAGCTCGTAAAATAGTAAATATACATGTATTCATATATAGATTCATCCTCGAATATACTCTTTTAATGACTTATCTAATGATTTTGCAAATTACAGTTGCAATTTGCAATTAAAGTTGCAGAGAGACGTTAATATAAGGAAACAGACATTATAAATTCCGTACAGTCGTCTCTGAAGTCTTATTCTTTGTGGGTAACCAGCTGTACTTCCAAGCTTAAAAAACGTAATTTTTTTAAGAGATGTATCTCATGGTTTTTGGAACCACCTGTTTTTAAGCTTAAGTTCATTTCAAGTACTCTTTAAATTCTAACCAAAAAATAAGTTTAAACTGGAAATCATGTTGATTTGGATCGCGTGAATAATTTGCGAAATTGTGTTAGGTTCGGGAATTATGAAAGAAATTGTTGATTAACTTTCTGTAAAAAGACAAAGAAGAAATAAGAAGATGTTGTGAAGGTTTAGTATGAGGGGGGATTGGGTCCTTTTATCCAAATTACTTCCTCAGGCTTGCCTTATCTTTCTAATTTTGTTCTAAAAGAATAAAAGTTTCTTCTCGATTTATTGTAGACTTAACTATTCTCCTAATATCCTACTCTACTCTATACTACAAGGGGAAACTAGTATTATAGTTGTATTCAATGATACAGACAATTTATATTATTTTATTTAGTTATTATTCCTTTTTTTTACAATGTTTGTTATTCTTTAATTGATGTCCTTTCCTTATCTTTAATAATATTCTTATAATATTCTTTATTTAGTATTCTTTATTCCTTATTTTTAATCATATTCTTATAATATTCTTTATTTAGTATTCTTTATTCTTCATTTTTAATCATATTCTTATAATAATCTTTATTTTGTATTCTTTATTCTATTCTTAACCATATTCTTTATTCTTCATTTTTAATCATATTCTTATACTATTCTTTATTTTGTATTCTTTATCCTATTCTTAACCATTTTCTTTATTCTGTATTCTTTATCCATTTCTTGATCATATTCTTATCCTTATTCTTTATTTTGTATTATTTATCCTATTCTAAACCATATTCTGTATTCTGTATTCTTTATCCCTTTTCTTGATCATATTCTTTGTTTTATATTCTTAATCATATTCTTAACCATTTCTGTATTCTGTATTATTCATCCTATTTTCGATCATATTCTTTATTCTATGTTCTTCATCATATTCTTAATCTTATACGTTAGTATATATTCTTTATCCTATTCTAAACCATATTCTTGATTCTATATTCTTTATGTCATATACTTAACCTTATACTTTTTTATATATTCTTTATCTTATTCTAAACCATATTCTTGATTCTATATTCTTTATATCATATTCTTAACCTTATACTTCTTGATTCTATATTCTTTATATCATATTCTTAACCTTATACTTATTATATATTCTTTATCTTATTCTAAACCATATTCTTGATTCTATATTCTTTATATCATATTCTTGATCTCGATATCCACTGTGGCAACTTAACAATTGGGTTATCCCTAAATTTACAGTTATTTCTGCTGGGTTCTGCCCATGGATGATCAAGAGGAATATTTGGACGATAAAAGATAAGTGGTTGATTCGGAGAATCACTTGAAACAAATCTTTAATCCTCAGGTTAATCCTGGAACTAAGTATATATATATATATATATATATAATTTCATTAATTAATAGTTAATTAGTTAAAGAAATGGACGTGATTACATCTTGATTTACAGGGACTTTCAACCCTTTTCTGGGGTAGAAGTTTAAGAATTTGAGCCGCGGCTTAAATTTGAGACGCTGCTCAAATATGGTTGGTTCCATTTAAAATTGTATTCAATGTTTCAAGATTTAGGCCGGCGCTCAATTGAAACCGGTTTTTGGCGGATATGAGACGCGGCTTAAATTCATTTAATTCGGACTCTGAGTATACAATGAGGAAGCTATCGTTGTTTTTCTATCTTAAAAATGATTAGTTCTGACAATGTGCTTCATTGTCTCTGTTGCATGAACATTTAAACCAAAAATAAAATTACCATGTTTCAGCAAGAAAAATTGGGATATTTCATTCATCTGTGTCAAACAAAGGTTTACAGGGTGCCGTTGTAAAAATATCATTCCTCTTAATGGTTGAAAATTACATCTTCATTTTAAACTTTGAACAGTTTGTTTAAAGTTTTTGTTCTCAAGGTCTGCATGGAAGAGCGTACAACTAAGAAATTTTTATGTTTAAAAGATAAAAAATCATTTTCTATTTAAAATCAAATTTGTGCTAAATCCTGAAAACCCTTTTTAAAATAAGTATATGGCACTTAAACTGATCTTTATGTTAACTTTTTCTTTTAAAAACACTTCAGGGGATCAGAGAAAAAGTCTGGATATTTTACTGAAAAAAAAAATTCTGACGTATTTAAAAATAATTTTTATTTTTTTTTGTATAAAATTTGTTTTTGTTTTATTTTTTGCTTCACTAGTTGTTGGGAAAAATAAATTATCATGGTTTTCTATATGAAAAACGAAAAAGTTCTATTTACCTCTCTATTTTTCTATATATCTATCCCAATGTGTTTTATCTATTTATCTGTATACTTCTATGCAGTTGAATAGTAATTGATGTTAAAGTGTCCTCTATTTATCCCTTTCTCTCTAGTTCAAAGCTCAATAAATTCAAACAAATTCAATCCCCTCTAGGTACTCTTCACAACCTTTAATCCTCTCCAGTACTCTTCACAACCTTTAATCCTCTCTAGGTCTCCTCACAACCTTTAATCCTCTCCAGTACTCTTCACAACCTTTAATCCTCTCTAGGTCTCTTCACAACCTTTAATCCTCTCCAGTACTCTTCACAACCTTTAATCCTCTCTAGGTCTCTTCACAACCTTTAATCCTCTCCAGTACTCTTTGCAACCTTTAATCCTCTCCAGTACTCTTCACAACCTTTAATCCTCTCCAATACACTTTATAACCTTTAATTCTTTCTCTTGTACTCTAACTCCCTTTAATCCTTTCTCAAGCAACTCTTTTCTCCCTTTAATCCTCTCCAGTACTCTTTACAACCTTTAATCCTTTCTCCAGGTACTCTTTACAACCTTAAATTCAATATCAAGCTACTCTTTACGACCTTTTGTTCTTTCTCCAGAACTCTAACTCCCTTTAATCCTTTTTCAAGCTACTTTTTACTCCCTTTAATCCTTTCTCCAGTACTCTTCACAACCTTTAATCCTTTCTCCAGTACTCTTCACATTCTTTAATCTTTTCCCCAGTACTCTCCACTCACTTTAATCCTTTTTCCAGTACGCTTTACTCCCTTTAATCCTTTCTCCAGTACTCTTCACAATCTTTAATCCTTTCTCCAGTACTCTTCACATTCTTTAATCCTTTCTCCAGTACTCTCCACTCACTTTAATCCTTTCTCCAATACTCTTCACTTCTTTTAATCCATTCTCCAGTACTCTTCACAACATTTAATCCTTTCTCCAGTACTCTTCACAACATTTAATCCTTTCTCCAGTACTCTTCAATCCCTTTAATCCTTGCTCCAGGTACTCTTTAGTCCCTTTAATCCTTTCTCCAGTACTCTTCACAACATTTAATCCTTTCTCCAGTACTCTTAACAACATTTAATCCTTTCTCCAGTACTCTTCACAACATTTAATCCTTTTTCCAGCACTCTTCAATCCCTTTAATCCTTGCTCCAGGTACTCTTTAGTCCCTTTAATCCTTTCTCCAGTACTCTTCACAACATTTAATCCACTGTGTACTCCTTACAAAAAGTAGATTAAATACATGCTTTAATGGGTTTTCTACATATAGTTCAATGCTCATTTAATTTTTGCATACTTTTAAACTTTACCGATTTATATCCTTAATATGGAATATTTTATGCGCACAGAATGTTAGGTTAGGATATAATTTATATTTATTGTGTGTATTTGTAAACTTTAATAAATTTAAGGTCCTTCTCCTTCAACTTTAGTTTTCTTGTTACAACTTTTTCCTTCAAAACATCCGTTAACGCATTGCAGATTAGAGAAGATAAAAGGTACCATATAGAGAACTGTAGAACTGTAGAACTTTAGAACTATAGAACTATAGAACCATAGAACCATAGAACCATAGAACTATAGAACTATAGAACTTAAGATCAATAGAACCATAGAAACATAGAACTAAAGAACTTAAGATCTATAGAACCATAGATCTATAAACCTAAGGACTTTGGAAATATAGAACTAAATATCTAAAGAACTATTTAACCATTTAACTTTATAACTATTGAACTATAGAACTATAGAACTTAAGAACTATAGATCTATAGAACTTAAGAACTATAGAACTATAGAACTAAATAACTATAGAACTAAAGAACTTAAGAACTTAATATCTAAACTATTTAACTATTGAACTGTAGAATTGTGATATTCTATAGAAGTATAAAATTATAGGATTAAAAATCTGTAGAAATAAAGAACTATAGAACCATAGAACTAAAGAACTTAAAGGGACTGTAAAGGAAAAATGAAAGGGGGTATAGACTGAAAGTTAATCACTTAAGCTATTGATCGCGACCCATGAAAGTTATATCTATCTCGAGAAATTGATATAATACTGTGTCAAATTTATACGAAAATTCATATATATATACAATTTTGAATAGAAATAGTAGAATTTATAAAGCCCATATTCAGCAAATACGCAACCAATTTGAAAACGAAGATATCCCAGAGAAACTTAATTGTAACCGAGGTTTTCTCCAATTATTATTTTTTAAGTTTTATTTTTATTTTTAATAGATATAATTGATAATTTTATTTGTAAGTCCGTATTACGTCACCAGAACTCCCACCAACGGTAGTCCAGCATAGTGGTCACCTGTCTATGCCTGTATCACGTGACCAGTATACTGCAGTCTCATTGAGTGAACTGTATAATGGAGTAACTGATCCCTGTAATGAGTGTACTGTATAATGCAGTACCTGATCCCTGTAATGAGTGTACTGTATAATGAAGTACCTGATCCCTGTGATGAGTGTACTGTAAAATGGAGTACCTGATCTCTGTAATGAGTGTACTGTATAATGGAGTACCTGATCCCTATAATGAGTGTACTGTATAATTGAGTACCTTATCCCTGAAATGAGTGAACTGTATAATGGTGTACCTGATCCCTTTAATGAGTGTACTGTAAAATGGAGTACCTGATCTCTGTAATGAGTGAACTGTATAATGGAGTACCTGATCCCTGTAATAAGTGTACTGTATAATGGAGTATCTGATCCCTGTACAAAGTGTACTATGAAGTGGAGTACCTGTACCCTGTACTAAGTGTACTGTATAGTGGAGTACCTGATTTCTGTACTGAGTGAACTGTATAGTGAAGTACCTGAACCCTGTACTGAATGTACTGTATAATGGAGTATCCCTGAGTTCCCGGAGAAGGGTGGTTCCCAACTCAAGGTTCCACTACGGGACGAGATCTCTCCTACACTCAAATTTGCTGGTACTCCAGGTACATCTAGAAATACGTCAAGCTCAAGATATAGAAATAGCAATAATCATAAAAACTGTAATTTAAAGACGACATAAACCTCTCTATCAAGTGATTTAGAATTTTAAAATGGATTGAGATGCTAAGAATTCCAAACATTTTCTGTCTAGTTTAACTGACCAAGCTCTGAAATTGCTCTGGGTCTTGTTTTTAAAATGTCTATTTTCCAGTTATCACATTCGTCCTGAAGGGATCCTCCATGCAAAGATGTCACAACTGTACCCGTGAAACTTTTATCTGATCAATAATCTGAAAGATTTTATAGTTTTCAGATTCTAAAGTGATTTTCTTCTGATAAATTCTGTATGTAGAATTGCTCAAGTCACTTTTGTAGAGAAACCACAGTTGAAAATCACCAGTTTTCAAACTTTGATATCTAATTCATACTTGACAAAGCTGTTAAGGGTACCGTTGTAAATCAGCAAATGCCCATCTTTGTATGGAAAACATTATTCTCTTCCTGATGTAAACTGTATCTCTGCCTAACTATCTGTGTGTGTGTTTACAATGGTAAACTCCCAACGGGAACTATTTTGTATGCTGGAGTATAAATGTAATCTCTTATTTCTGCTTTATATACACTGTATAATATATATATATGTATAAGTATATATATCAGGAGACTAGAATGAGAATGGGAGGGGCAGACTATACAGATAGGACAAAGAAAGTTCTACTCTTTTTTACTCACTAACCCTTTGCAGTTTCAATTGCTAATTCTTATAAGCTTATTATTGAGTCTAAATTCCTAAGTCTAGAGTCTAAATTCCTAAGTCTCGAGTCGAAATCCCTTAGTCTCGAGTCGAAATCCCTAAATCTCGAGTCTAAATTCCTAAGTCTCGAGTCGAAATCCCTTAGTCTTTGGGTCTAAATCCCTAAGCCTCGAGTTGAAATCCCTTATTCTTGAATCTAAATTTCTAAACCTCGAGTCTAAATCCCTTAGTCTCGAGTTTAAAATTGGACTAAACTCTAGGAAAAATTAGCCCCAACATGTCTCTAGGCGCGAGCCTTATTCCACAGATGTTCCCACAATATATAGGATCGTGCATAGCTCTAAATTTGAACTTTTGGACAAAGAAAATTAAGGAATTGCAAATCCTTTAAAAAAAATCGTATACGGCTAATATAAAAATTTGAATGAAAGATTCTAAGCGTATTCTGCGCGTATTTTGGAGTTATATCTACCATCTTGTCTTATCTAGGTATTGTGTGGGTATGGGGGAGAGACAAAGGAAATGTGGTTTATAAATGTATGATATATATATAGTATATGAAATCATAATTATTAGAGAAAGTTGAAGTACAATGTAGTTGAGTTCAACTGCCTTTGCTTGTATATATATCCACTAAAATTGCATTAGAGTGTAGTAGTAAAGTTATAAAAAGAGGCATTTTGTCATCTTACCCTAATTAGAGCTAGGCGGCCCAATAAAAACAAACATTTTAAACAATAGCTCTTAGATCAAGCAGAATTTAGTTTGAATGGTCCACACGCAAGATTGCAAAGATTAGGGGATTTACAAATTAGAATTAGAGACATTCCTATTTATTATTTTTCCCCAAAAATTTATTTATTTTCCCCACTTCAGCGAATAAAACCCTAAAAAAAATTGGAACAGAGGGGGAATGATTTTTAAAGAAAATATACACCCCTGATATAATTTTATATGTTTCTATGGCTAGTATTAAAGTTTTTAAAGATCAAGGATCAAAACTCTTACATTGAAAAATATCCTGATAACCTTGTTAAAAAATTGACTATATGGGTGTTTCAGGTTCTGGTAGCAAACAAACCCAAAAAAACTTTAACCAAGCAAACTTATAGAAATAAAAAAAAATTCATATAAAACTTAGTACCCAACAATTTTACCCAATTTTACACAAACTATTCCTTTGAACTTTGTTTGTTTGTTTGTGGTCCAACCCTGGAGTGGGGTTGGAGGTTTAATATATACAGGCTTTATAGTATGAAGGGTATTAATGTAGGATTACAAGGGGGAGGTTATAATGTAAATCAAGCGAATAATATTTTGACCCCGGGGGGGGGGAGGGGGGAAGGTTGAATGGCATGGGGTGGTGAAAGGACAGATGGGGGGGGGGGGTTAAAGGTTAGATAAATATATTTATTTACCAAGAATGATTAGATGAAAGTTTAAAGTATCTCGTCCGTAACCATTTATTCCTTCACATCTAAAAAATATAAATAAAATAGTAAAAAAACAGGTTGTTTAATGTGTTTTTAAGGAACTTCACCTTATGTGGCATGTCCAATTCACAACAGTTCCCTTTAAACCTTTATCTGAGTAACAATGAGGAAAATGTAGTTTTTTATTTTTATTTTAAACAGCAGTTTTCTTCTCTGTTTTTATAGAAAAACACCAACTGAAATTACTCCATTTTTAAAAAACAAGGATATTTTGGACAACTGGTTTAAGAGAAGCGTTGTGAATCGGACATGACACTATATAATTGGAGGGTTACCTGAAATAACGTTTACAGTCCCTTTAAAGGTTACTTAATTCTCATATTTCTTGGTTCTTCTTATAACAAGTAAAATGATTTTTGAATTTCTCCTCTACCTGAACTCTCCTGAATCCTCTTCAGTTACTCTATGGACCCGGAGTAAAGAAATCTCTCCTTCAGTTGTATTTTCCTCCCGGATACTGAACCTGAATTAGAGCGGAGAAAATGAGATGAGAAACCAGAAACTGATCATTGAAAAATATCCAGCAGTGTAAACGTGTTTTTTTGCAAGCTATTTAATAGTTGTTTCAAAGAGTTGTGTGAAATGTTCCTGCTACCTTTTAAACTGGAGAGGATTGATTATCCGTCCGTCCCTGCTCCAGATATATTCTATCTTAGGATCTCCCTCTGCTGAGCATTCAAGTATTTCTTCTGAACCACGATTAATTCTTCTCTCCTGATCCCTTCTCCTAAACCTTGGTGGACCTAAACACAGAACATTCTTATTCTTACATTTTACATTTAACTAATCGTTATCATTTCATTAACATTATACTTGCAATCAGTATAATTATCCTTACTTTTAACATCAATTCTGATAGTTTTCATTATTGATGGTTCCACTCCGTTCTCTACCCTGCATGTATACTCCCCCTCCAGGGTTTCATCAGCTCCAGGTATATCCAGTAACCCAGTCCTACTGGAGATCTGAGGATTCATTTTCCCATTCGAACCTTAATAATTATCAAGGGGTTAGGAAGTACTGATAAAGAATTAACGATTTATTAATGTTTAAATGATGAAATAAATGTTTAAAGAATGGACAATATTGATTAAGGATGGGATAAATGGATTAAGGATGGGATACATAGATTAAGGATGGGATACATAGATTAAGGATGGGATACATAGATTAAGGATGAGATACATAGATTAAGGATGGGATACATAGATTAAGGATGGGATAAATGGATTAAGTATGGAATAAATGGATTATGGATATAAGATACATAGATTAAGAATTGGATAAATGGATTAAGGATGGGATACATAGATTAAGGATGGGATACATAGATTAAGAATTGGATAAATGGATTAAGGATGAAATAAATGGATTAAGGATGGGATAAATGGATTAAGGATGAAATAAATGGATTAAGGATGGGATAAATGGATTAAGGATGGGATAAATGTTTAAAGGTAGAATAAATTGATTAAGGATGGGATAAATGGATTAAGGATGGGATACATGTTTAAAGGATGGGATAAATGTTTAAAGGATGGGATAAATGTTTAAAGGATGGAATAAATGGATTAATAATGGAAATATTGTTTGCAGAATAAATTTTCCTCTAATTTTGACTTGGAAAACGTTCTGAGAAGAAAATCTTAATTTAAATTCCAGAAATGAAAGAAATTGAATTAAAAGTTTATACTAGGAATGATTCTAAAATTGCAAAAGAAAACTTTGCTCTGGGTTGAGAGGGGGGGTGCCTGGAGCCAAACCTTGAAACTCAATCTTATCCATCTCATCTCCACAACCCTAGAGAGTCTAGAAACCTTATTGAAGCTGTAGACTATAGAGTTTAAAAATGAACTGAAAAAATCACAGATTTTTGAAGAAACTTTTTATCTTGACAAAATAAATCTAATAAGTTCTAAATTTTTCAGTTTCTTTTTAAATCTTCAAATGGAGAAAATTTTGCTAGCTTTGTTTGAATCAATAATTCCCGGTATAAACAAATCCAATGGGGGGGGGGGGGAGGGGATATCATATCATAAATACTTCAAATTGGACAGGTTCATGTGTAATAATATAAAAATAGATTCTTACAAAACCTAATATTATAGTTATGACAGAAGTGTACACTGTGCACATTATTTAAACTGTACAGTGTACAGTACCTATCAACTAGTTTTATTTTGGTTATTTTTAAAGAAAAAGATAGAAAAAGTTACAAGTGTAGGATAAATAATGGGGATGGACGTGTAGGATGAAAGAAGGTTGTAAGTGTAGGATAGATCGAAGGTTGGAAGTGTATAAGGATATAAAGGGTTGGTAGTGTTTTAGGATAGAAAGGGTTGGAAGTGTAGGATAGATAGAATGTGGTAGTGTATAAGGATATAAAGGGTTGGAAGTGCAGGATAGAAAAGGTTGGAAGTGTAGGATAGAAAAGGTTGGAAGTGTAGGATTGAAAAGCTTGGAAGTGTAGGATTGAAAAGGTTGGAAGTGTAGGATTGAACAGGTTTGAGATGTAGGATTGAAAAGGGTTGGAAGTGTAAGACGGAAGAAGTGTAGAGCAGGGCGATAAAATGATAAAATATCCCGGGTTTAGTGGAGATTCGAGAATAAACTTCAGCAACTATTCCAATCAACTTAAAGGTTTCATAACCCAGAGAATCCTTACTCCCCGTCCCAACCACGCAATATAAACTTAAATCAACTTTAAGGGAGTTTAAAGTGTAGAGAAGTGGATCAAATGCATAGTTTAACCAAATTCTTGGTGGCTTGTATTAAGATGCACCACGAACCATTGGTTTCACACTGTTTATTTAATATTTTGCTACTAAAATGAGACGAAATATAATTTGTTCAAGAAATTTAGTCAAATTTTCTAATCCCTATATCTTCGCAACCTTATGATGTAAACCTTTCAAACATATATTATTTGGTCTAAGAGAATTCGTAGTTTAAAAAATCTGAGGTCTACGACGTAGGTTTGCAAAGATAAATAAATTAGAAAATTTGATTTTGTGACAAAAACTCAATTCCCTTGTTTCATGCTTTCTGACAGTCATAGTAGCAATCTTCATTTTTACCATCAGAAGTGTTTTATAAATCATTTTTATCATCAGAAGTGTTCTAATCATTTTTATCATCTGAAGTGTTCTAATCATTTTTATTATCAGAAGTATTCTAATCATTTTTATCATCAGAAGTATTCTATTAATCATTTTTATCATCAGAAGTGTTCTAATCATTTTTATCATCAGAAGTATTCTAATTATTTTTATTATCAGAAGTATTCTAATCATTTTTATCATCAGAAGTGTTCTAATCATTTTTATCACCAGAAGTCTTCTAATAATTTTTATCGTCAGAAGTATTCTAATCATTTTTATCATCAGAAGTAATCTAATCATTTTTATCATCAGAAGTGTTTTATAAATCATTTTTATCACCAGAAGTGTTCTAATCATTTTTATCATCAGAAGTATTCTAATAATTTTTATCATCAGAAGTGTTTTATAAATCATTTTTATCATCAGAAGTGTTCTAATCATTTTTATCATCAGAAGTGTTCAAATCATTTTTATCATCAGAAGCATTAAAATCATTTTTATCATCAGAAGTATTCTAATCATTTTTATCATCAGAAGTAATCTAATCATTTTTATCATCAGAAGTATTAAAATCATTTTTATCATCAGAAGTATTCTAATCTTTTTTATCATCAGAAGTATTCTAATCATTTTTATCATCAGAAGTATTATAATCATTTTTATCATCAGAAGTATTCTAATCACTTTTATCATCAGAAGTATTCTAATCCTTATTATTAGCACTTTTACGCAGTATGTTATTCTATTTCTGAATATTGCAATATTATTGTCTAAATATAAAATTATGTTTACTCCGGTGAGTAATCTTATATAAGCCTGGAATGGGTTTGCCATCCTACCAAGCATTTCGGGTTATTTAAAGGAGATTTTCATCCCCATAAAATAGAAATCTTTGTTTCTTATGGTTAAAAAAAAGAAATATCTAACAAATTTTCTTTTTTAATTTTCCACCTGTTTAATACAATTTTGCATTTATGAAGAAAATTTGAATTAAAACTTCTAAGGTTAACAGAAAAGATTGGTTTAAAAGTTTTTGTAAAAATGAGAATTAAAAACAATTATATGAAATACGTAACTAATTCTCAATTTAAAGAAAAATTTAAGGCTAGGAAAGAACAGGGGATAACTTGATAAGTCAGGAATTGAATTTGAACTTTGGAAGGAAAAAGTAAATTCTAAATTTGCCTTCTCTTTCCCAGATTATTCTTGGTTCTGGAACCCCAAAGGCTGAACAAGGTACAGATATCTGTTCTCCAGCTGTAATCTCTACATTTTTGGGTTCTACAATCCACTCAGGAGGAACTGTAAAAAGAGAAAAAGAAATTGGAAAAGTAAATTTTTTCATTTGATATTTCAACTAATTTTTAATCACAATTATAAAAATAATTTTAATTATTTTATTAAAAGATTAATATTCATTATTTTCATTAGGAAATTGTCATTAATCACCGTTGACTAACAGATCAGCTGATCTTGAATCCTCGCCCGCCATGTTTGTTGCTGTGCACGTGTACTTTCCCGTATGCTTCCGGTCTGCAAGAGTTAAACCGGTTTACTGCGGGCTGTTTAGGTCTATTAAGTTTGCGGGAAGTTTTCTATTTATATTCAAATATTATGGTTCCGCTGAGTCGTGAAATAAGGTAATAAAATTTAGATTTTTCAGAAAATATTATTTTAGAATATATTGTTTTCTTTTTACTCAGGAGCAACTTATTCCTCTATAAAAAAAAAACAGTTTAAATTTCCTAGTTTTTGTATGAACAGCGTGCTAGAGTACGTGGTTTGTTGAAATGATACGGTTTCTCCATCTCCATCCTGAACCCTTTCTCCGTCCCTGAACCGGTCTCATAGAACCAACACCTTCTCAATTCAAACCCAAATTAAATTTTTAAAAATCATCTTACGATACATTTTAACACATAAGACTTTGGTCATAAAAGAATAATATTTTATTACAAAGAAAAGATAAATTATTCTTGTCAAAAGTTATTGCTTTTCAAACAATTGTGTATAAAGTTAAATGTAATTTAACAATAAACATCGAGTCACTTTAAGATACTTATATATTAGATTAAAGCATGGTATTATATGAAGTAGAACCACCATTATTCTAATACAAGAAAAAATACTACAAAATACATTTTATAAACTTGAACAACAGACAATTGACAACTCAGAAAGGGTTTCTCTTTTCAAATAAAAATATCAGAGTGTTCTAGTTAATACAATCAGAACATTATATTGTTGGGAAAAGAACTAAAACATGAGAAAGAAAATACAAAAAATAAAGTCAAGGATAAAAGATCAAAATTGTAAATTACTTTTGTTTAATGTTAGCTTTGATCTTGGAACAACCATTATCTTATATCTACAATACTAGAATTGTAACTCCTACCCCCTCCCCTTTTTTTAGCCTCTTCTCCCCCCCCCTTACAAAGCTAAACTATGAGAAAACATATGAATCCAGGCTGGAATTAAAATATGAATAAATGATGACCCCAGGTTGTAAGAGAACTGTCCTGAACCAGGAGAATTTTATCGGAAGTTCTCCGTCCACGGTCTGGCAGGTTACAGCAGTTCTCATCCCTTCTTGCAGGTCGTAGAAACTAAACTCAATCATTCGCGGTGGAACTGAACAAAAAAGGGGGTTAATTTCCTATAGAACGATTTTTGAACTCCCCCCGGACGGACCCTTCCCCCCTCCTATCAATTTTGTACATGGATCTTTTATGTAACACTTGGCCACCTAGCCTGTCCTAGCTGCAGCGCTTGGCCCAGAAATTGCCTTAACCCAATCATAAACTTAAACTTTCTAATCCCTATATCTTTGCAACCTTACAGTGCACACCTTTCATATTTCAAACTTTGATTAATTGATCTAACAGAATTCATGCTTTGAAATATCAAAGGTCTGTGACATTTGGTTGCAAAGATATAAGGATTAGATAATAAGACTTTGTGGAAAAGACTCTATTCCTTTAAAATGAACAGTTTGGTTCGTGTTTTAATATTATCCCCCCAAAACAAGGAATAACCGCCCAAAAAAGTTCTAAAGTACTAAAATGTGGCACTAAAAAAGTCCTGTGGAAAAAAGAGTCCCTGAACTAATAAGTTTCTGGAAATAAAGTCCTACCATTTTAAGACTTTATTGTATAGGGGTTTTTTTGTATGATTTTATAAAAAAACGTCCCCGGAAAAAGTCCTATTACAGTGGAAAATGCCATGTTTACAAATGATGTTTACAACCATGCAAAAAAAGAACCCTGGCTATACTCAATATGCGGATGCATGGTAAAATGTTCTTTTCAAGAAAACGTCTCAAACTTGATCTCATTTTCACAAGACTTTTTTTCTTCAGATATATCTTCTTTAGAACTTTAATTCCTGAGATCTTCTTTCATTAAACTTTATTGGCAGCCCCAATTCCCCCAATACTATATAAGGAAAAAAGGTTCCCGGGAATCGAAAACTTAGGGCTTTATTTCCAGTGACATTTTGTCCTGGAAGTTCAGAAAAGTTTTTATTTCCAGGATTTTTTTGTGAAACTTTTTTCCCGGTGATTTACTTACATAGATTCAAACAAGGACTATACCTCTCAAAAATTGAACATTTGCGTAATTCTTGAAAGTATTGTTTTACCTACAATATTAATCTGAATGGTTCTGGAATATGAAGATCCTATGGTAGTAGCGGTACATGTATACTCTCCGGGATCAGTCCCCTTATTTCCTGGGGTTTTATTCAAACATTAATCATATTCAGTTGTTACGCGACGTAATCGTCTGGTTCTAAACTCCCCGCTCCTGAGCCCTCCTCTTAGAAGATGTGAAACCCCTGAGTTGAGAGAGGGACCGTGTTTATAGTAACTATCCGAAACCAGTTTTGTCTAGTAAACTTTATCTTAAATCTGTACGGTGTCCGCCAGTTATATTTGATATTTTGATAAGATAAGTATTGTTCGTTGTGATCTGTGAACAGCACATTAAGGTATAAATTAGACATTATTACGTTATTGTTATAGAACTGAGTTTCGTTCCTTATTCTCTTTAATTGATTTAAAGGATGCATTTATCCATGGAAGAATTTTTCTCATATTTCCGAGTTATCAAAGATTTTATTTTCTTGAGTTGATTTTGTATATTTTTTTTCATTCGCTGCATATTGTATTTTATGATTATACAAAATTAATTGGGCACTCTTTTACAGATTGAACCCGTAGTTAGAACAAGTCTTCAGAGTGTTTTCTTTCTGTAGAGATCTGCGAGTTTGTCCTGGTTCCAATCGTAACCCTGTAACAGGTTATGACAAGGTCAAAAATATACTTTAGGATATTTTAAAGCGGCCAGACTTGATCGCGAAACATCAGTTGTACTATACTGCTTAGTATACAAACAAATGTTTTGTTTACTTTCAGTGGAATGTGTTTCAAAGATATAAGGATTACAGAATATGAGTTCGTGGCGAATGTTCAATTCCTTTAGTACAGCAATGAGCAACGAAATATGTCAATATACGACACAAAAAGAGAAAAATAAATGAGTTTTAGATAATTTAAACTTTGCTCATGGTTGGGTTCAGCAAAAACAAATAGAAATGCTTTATATTAGACTTGTTTGTGTAAAAATTGTTATTTTTTAATAATGTACCTCCTTCTAAATATACTGATTTACCGGTTCATTAAGTTTTCAACTTGAATCTCTATTGTATAGTGTGTTGTGTATATATTATATGGAAGAGAATTGAATTTTCAGTGATGCTAAATATAAGAAAAGAAAAAATCACAAATTTAAAAATGAGTTTTGAGATCGATTGCAGAGTCAGAAAAATAACTAGAAGAATTAGTTTCGCGTCAAAGAATTATTAGGGGCAGTTTCATTAAAAGTACTCCATCAAAAATCGGTTTGAGATATTCGAATCAAAGTACTGTCTTTAAAACTTTAGAGTTGTTTTCTATACCCCGTCATAAGATTTGTGACCACTCCCTTTAAACCTATTTATCTAGGACTAGAGCTAACGCTAGGATTCAGAGCCAACATGAAAATTAGGCTGGACTTCTTCATAGTAAACAGAAAGGAGGTTCTATGCCACTCCGGCCAAATATAAAAAGTTTGAACGATAAATAGAACCGTCGACGTATCCGGTCGCTTTAGTCGGATATAATTAATTAACATTTAATATTACTATAAAAATACGACTATTCAGAATAGTACTGATTAATTTAAACCACGCAGTTGAAGTAAACATGGTATTTGATGTTTGATCTTTGATACGAAATGAAATCCTTATTTCCCAATGAAAACCCCTAATTTTCATAAAAAAAACGTTCTCCCAATGAAAATCCTTGTTTTCCAATGAAAGCCTTTCATTTTTACAGAAAAATCGAAATTGACAATAATCAATGTTCAAAGAAAAAAAACATAGATAGCTCATTCTTTCTAGATCAGACAAAGGATTGTGTAGGATGAAAGGAGTATATAAGAGTAAGGATGGGAAGGATTGTGTAGTATGAAAGGAGTATATAAGAGTAAGGATGGGACGGATTGTGTAGTATGAAAGGAGTATATAAGTGTAAGGTTGGGACGGATTGTGTAGGATGAAAGGAGTATATAAGAGTAAGGATGGGACGGATTGTGTAGGATGAAAGGAGTATATAAGAGTAAAGATAAGACGGATTGTGTAGGATGAAAGGAGTATATGAGAGTAAAGATAAGACGGATTGTGTAGGATGAAAGGAGTATAT